AGACTTCAGCAACTATACCAAGCTGTCGTTTATCTGGTACTTCAGGGGGAGTAAAAATGAGCGAAACCTTAAAAGTGGAAAGGTTCTGTAGCTTGGAAGGTTGGAGAAATTTTGAGGGGAGGCGATGAAGAAATGTTCAGATGTGTATGTGGGAGGTGAACACTGGAGAATATTTCTAGGAAACCCTTGGAATCAGGCAAGAATCAAGAACACAATCCACATGTCTGCCTGGGTGGGAATGGAACCCGGGTCACAGGGGTGGAATGCGAGGAATCTAACCACTGGGCCAACCAGACTCCATTGAACCTGCAAGCGTGACATTAGGAATATGACTGTGCTACTAAAGACAAGAATTTAATTATGGCATATACTCAGAGAAGGTTAAAAATGTAAACAACTGTTTTTTTAAGAATGTGAAACAACTTACCTGTGTAAAAAAAACACACCATCAACAGCAGCATAGCTTTCATCTTGAGTAGTTGGAACGACCGAACTAGAAAATTAGACCCACAAAAAAAGACAACTTATGTAGGATCTCAAAACTTTAAGGTTACTCCACAAGTCATTAGCACTAATTTGCGCTACAAAAACTGTCTGTGTGTGAATGTTGGTATGCAACTCACCTAATGACTGGACTGGGCCCAACCTGACATCGGTATCTGGGCTGTGACAAACAGATACAAGTACAGGAGATCAGAAAAATGAAACATGTAAGCAACAATTAAAGGGGAGTGTTTCAGAACTGGTGGAACTTGGACCCAGAGTTAGTCAAATCTGTCAAGTCAAATCACAAAGCAGGTCATAGGTTAAATCACAAGTCAGGTCATAGGTCAAATTACAACTCAGGTCAGAGGTCAAATCACAAGTCAGGTCATAGGTCCAATTACAACTCGGGTCAGAGGTCAAATCACATGTCAGGTCATAGATCAAATTACAACTCAGGTTAGAGGTCAAATCACAAGTCAGGTCATAGGCAACCTCGTCCCCAGTGCTTACTTTATTTCCAACCTCGTTTCCAATAGTAAACCCTGGATAGGAAACTTTCTTCCTGTATCCCGATTCGATACCGCAATTGGCCAGTAACGGATTTTTATCGTGTACTTGGTGTTATTATTCACAACGTGCAGTACGTGTTTTCGCGATCATTCGTCCACGCCTTCTCGAAAATACTAATTTCCTTTCAAGTTTGTTCATATTAATATGAAATGTGATACTGCATGTTGTCTCGATAAGATCGTAACAGTTTAATTTAAAAAAATCGTGTTTTCGTAACTCACGCCGTGCTCGTACTGCGACGAATTGACTCTGTTTTTACCCCAGACACCACATACAAAAACAAACGCTAATGTAAAGCATATCCAAGGCACCACACTATTCCTCATTTGCATACGTGTGCAAAAATCTTGCACATGCAAATGATCCAATACCAGGGTGAGAGAGCAGGTAGTGATGGGCGCGTACTGCTCGACACCGTGGGGACGAGGTTGGGTCATAGGTCCAATAACAACTCAGGTCAGAGGTCAAATTACAATTCGGGTTACAGGTCAAATCACAAGTCAGGTCATCGGTCAATCACATGTCAGGTATAGGTCAGATCACGTGTCAGGTCACAGGTAACATGTAAGAGGAATGCCATTGTAACAATTCATGTGAACAGCTTGTCACATGACTTGAGACCAGATGTCTCGTGACGACTTCATTACAACTCGAAGCAAAGAGCAAAGCAGTGTATCTTTGTCTAAGGTGGTTAACATATCTACCTCTGCTCTGTGGACTGGATGGAGCTTTCATCCCTCGGTGGCACTTTGCGAAGCAACAGGAATATCAGCACTCCGATACCGGACACAGAGGTGAGGACGAGGAAGATGGTCATTCGTGTCGTTTCTGAGGAATTAAGAAACACTTGTAATAAGTTATTTCACATTGTAGGTAGGCCACAATCATCCTAGGAACTTAATTTTACACACATTCAAGAGGTTTGTTTTTGAAAATGAAAAAGACTGCTGCAAACTGCTTTCTGACTGGATTGACCTGAAATATACAAATCTAAAAAAGCAAGGCGGTCGCACATTGCGATGTCAACAAGATCTTCTTCAGAGGCAACATGATGGAGGTACAAGAAAGAAACATGTAGGGACTCACAAGCATGCAGGGTTGGGAAGACAAACACAAAAAAGGTATTTAATAAGGGGACAGACCGATGTGGATGAGTATCAAAGGGAAAGGAGTAGAAGAACAAACAAAGGACGCATTAAATAGGGGACAGACTATGAGGGATTAATGGGGGGGGGCAACACCAGTGTGGGCGAGATCACAGGGAATGGGGTGGAAGGACTAACAAAGGACGGATAAAATGGGGGAGGGCAGACCACGAGGAATTAAGTTATGTATTTATTAATAAAAAAAAGTTAAAGACTTTTTCCTGATCATCTTACTAGTTATGTACGTGGCACTGGTTTTCCCAATTTCGAAGTAGATGAAGATGTTTCCAAAGAGGAGACTGCACTGAAGCATGGCCCAGAATATGCCACTGTTACGTCCCATTGTCTCACTGGTCGAGTTGATTGTCAGAAAGTTGCCCTGGGCCGTCCATATCACTGCAGATGGTAACACAATGATCCAGAAATAACTTTCACATGTCTTTAGTTCCATACATAGGTGGTCTTCAATTTTTTAAAATTATTATATCTACGATGCCTCTGGATTGATTTACAGACTGTTTGGATTACAGTGACAATTTTGGAAGTCATTGGCAATTTGGTAAATTATTAACAAAAATCAAAAGATCTTACATGCTGCAGCTATTCCTAGAAACACAGACATCATGTACAAACTCCATATTTTGAGACTCAGGAAGATGGCTATAAACCCAGTATAGACAGCCCCACTGATGAACATGGTCGCCCGCGGACCGATCAGACTGACTACAGAGGGCGCTAGCCAGTTGGAGAATGCAAACACTCCGTAGATGATGGCTAAACTGTAGTAGCCACTCCCTTCAAACTCCTGCCGGGTACTGTTGGACGAGTCGTGTTGGACACTCTCAATCACCGTTTCCTGAAATACAGAAAACAAAAACAAAAACAAATGGAGAACACTTTTGAAGTATAGCCTTTTCTAGGAATACTTTGAATAGTGGAATGAATGGTTGAATTCGGACAAATTTCTGCTGCCATTGTCCACGAATGCATGCACTTTTGACCAATACTGAATGGCAGGCAACAGCCGTACCGATGCACTTTGCCAAAATCTGAAACAAGCTAGTGAGGGTGCAATTTCAGCATGATGCTTTCGTGAACAATGGCAGCAGAAATTCGTCCGAATTCAATCCGAAATTACAAGATAACTAGACCTCTTAAACTAGTGAAAGTAATGAATTCAACGTTTTTTTGCTATAATTAAGCAGTTGTAGACGGGATTGTGTGATTATAAAGTGACTAAATAATTCCAATCTTAATTTGATTTTATGCTCTTTTCTAGCAATGGGACCTTCCACGCACAGGCATGACAGGGCATATGGCATTGTGTGGCTGATAATACGGAAGTAGGGGGGGGGGACGTAAGAATGAAGAATGTGAAGAATGTACGAGTACAGAAGCATAGAACATTTTCTCTTTTAACCGCTAGGCCTATACATTTCATTTAACATAATTATGTAGTGCAATGTTTGTTAAGATTGGGCAAAATTTATAAATTGTGCACGTGATATTCCCACCCAATCTTAAGAATGAGCGCTCATTCTTAAGAACGCGTGCTCATTCTTAAGAATGGGCGCTCATTCTTAAGAATGCGCGCACATTCTTAAGATTGCGTGATTTTCAAGAATGGGCACAACATGGCCAAATAAAATTGGCCAATCTTTCCCGTGACTTTACCTCAATTCCGGAAGTCGTCTGAAAAGCAGTAAAGACAAACATAAATGCGAATCCCAATATGATCACATTATACATCATGATGTCGGCCATTTTGCTTCGATTTCCACAGGATACAGGCAATTTCTGCCTCAAAATGTTTTTTAAAATATTGAACTGGAAGATCTATTGAGCAGTTGAGAGGTCTCAATGAAGGGTACCTGCATAATTGCACACTTGCACTATCGCAGTCATATGATTAACTGAGGTCTGATTCCTTCCTCTAGACCTGAACAAGGCATGCACTAAAATGTAAGCGTAACCAGTCTAGATTTAGAGCTTTGTATAGAGCGCCCTCAACATGACACCAATCGTCGCGCGACAACACCCACTTTATTACGCCCCTCCCCTCCTCTACCGGTACCCACCACAGCTACCACGCTAGAAAGTTTATTAATGGAAGATCGCCCTGGTGGTAGGCGTGGCCATGGGCTGGCAAATGTTGCCTTAAGTTCACATGACCACGCCCCTTTAACGGGTCACGCATGCGTGCGTGCGGCAGGTAGGGTAACCACGAATCTTCTACATGGTATAGAAGATCCGGCCGTGGGGTACGGGGCCGGGGGGGGGGGGGGGAGGCTATTTGCTTCTCCCCTTGGAGTCTCGCGTGCGTTTTGGCCACTTCTTTCCCAGATTTTTTTCACACCCACGGGTACGGGCGGAGTCAAAGACACTGACCGTGGACGGATTTTGGGAATATCATATTATCCCCCATCTTTTACATCCCTTTCGAAATTACGACTTTAAAGACAACTTTACGTTTACCCCTACTTTGAACCTCTGGAGTAGGCTTAGGCAAAAAAAAAAATTCGGTCTCTGGTCTGGTTCCGGAATTGATGTGGCGACGCGGTTTTTTTTTTTTTTTTTTGCCTTTTTCTTTTTGGAAGCTTGGATTGTACAGACAAGGTGGGAACTATTTTGCTTTTGTTGTGTCCTCTATATGGACACCTCCATAATTTGCCTTGGTGCCCTCCATCATTTGCCTTGGTGCAATTTCCCCATTCCTTGGTACAAAAATTTGAGGAGGTGCGGCAATAGAGGGCGCTGCTGTAGCTACCGCGGACAATTTGAAGAAAAAAAAAGGTTGACGCGCATGATTAAACTCGACGCGGGATTTCTTTTTGGGCCTTATCCTCATTTTTTTTCCATTTTCACCCGTACTTTTCAACTACCAAATACCTGCAACCCCCTTTTTCCATTTCCATTAATTTTATTCCCAATCCGGTTCCGATGTCCTTGAACTTGGCTACATTGCAGGATACCGATCACGTCGGAACACGGTCCAGCCTCAAGCCGCGAACTTACTTCCAGGAAACTCGACCATCATGCACGCTGCATGTGATATATCCTTCAATTGAAGAATGTGTATCAGCTCATTATCCCCATGTGAAGTCTGCAGGCGTGCACGTTCAATCAATGTTGGGGTCAGACGGCTTGTATTGACATCGTGAGTGACTGCACGTAGGCGAGTCTACATAATCAACACAGATCGGACGTCTCTGCATTTATTCATTGCTGCCTGCGTTATCCACATCGTGTCTAGACTCTCCGCAGACGTTTTTGAGATACTACAAAATGTGAGTACATGTATATTTGCAAGTTTTTGGTATATCAGACAGAGTTAAACTAAACTTGATATGATTCAAATTGAATTTCATATTGACTGTGAAAATATAGTTGTAGCATGTATACTCATGGAGGAAGGAATAGTATAGGAACGAGAAGGATTCTTATGTTATGTCTATATTATGTCTATAGTTTTATTTTATCTCATGGGGATTTGAATATCTTGATGTATAGGCCTATCAGGCATATTGCTCTACAAAATAGTACATCGAAAATTGTTGAAGACTTTGTAAAACTACAACACACCACAATGACTAAATACAGTGTGGCGGATCCAAGCCGGGGGCCAGGGGTGCGGAGGGGCGCCCCGCCCCGGCAGCGCCACTCAAGTTCTCTCAAATAAGACCATTTTTCACTAATTAAAGCCCTACCGATCCGCCCTCGGCCTCCGGCAGTAACCTCTCTGGATCCGCCTTTGAATTACAGACCTTTTGTCTGTGTGTGGGGAAACCATGATTGCTTTGGGGTGGGGCTATGGGCAGGCGCGGTTCTAGAACCAATATTTTGGGGGGGCTAGCACGGTGGATCCAGAATTTTTTTCAGGGAGGCGTGCTGAAATGTAGACCGGTTAGCCCCCCCCCCCCCCCCCCCCCCCCCGTAGAACCGCGCCTGGCTATGGGGCTGTGAAGAGAACTGGGCGTTGTCCGTCTGAGTTTACAAGACAAGTTTCCAGCAGAGCCGGTTGTGTCCCATCCCCGAGCGAGCTTGAGAAACTGCTCCATTGATGAATTATCTTGAAATCTTGACAATAGCTGGCACAGTGCTTTGGCCACTGAAGGTGGGGGCCTCCTGAGTACGGATTTCAGTTAAATTTCCTTAATGTCCTTCCCCGTTAGCCCCTCCCTTTGCAATTAAGGTTCTGTTTCATTCTAGAGCACTATAATGATACAGAAGGAAAATGACGGATGATTTCACAGCTGGCCGATGGCATAGTCCACGTGGGACATTGCCCTGCTTGCGGAATAAAAATGTCAGTTCCGATTGTGAAACCAGAAATTTTACTTATTGAACCGGACGTAATCAGTCACAAATCCGATATCCGTGTCTATCTTGTCGCATGATGTGATACCATATCCGATAAGCAGGATGCTGGGCGGTGTGGCAACCGGCTAGCGGAAGCAATCTAGGCCGCATATCCTCGTCCTCAGAACATGGCCCGATGCATTTCTTTCTTTTTTTTTGGGGGGGGGGGGAGGTTGGTGTATAGACGGTCGTAACCCCGCCCACCAACCCACTTGGGCCGCAAAAAGAAATTTAAAAATCATGCAGAAAAAGTAACACATGCCTGCTAACCCCCCCCCCATCATCTACCCCACCCCCTTCTAAATCTGTCCCTGTTGTCATTCATCTTTTTAAAACAAAAATTCCTAAACGTTGATACATTCAACCCATTAATTTCGGCGAGCGACCAGAATGACAACTGAGTTGGTACTGCCCCCCCCCCCCACCCCCACCCCCACCCCCCCCCCCCACCACACACACACACACACACACTTTTAAGAAGCGATTGAAGCCTTTGGACCCAGCAGTCTGACTTTTCCTGACAAACTGCTGTCTTATCGTTACCCAAACCTATCATATGAGGTTCAAGTGAGGTTTTTAATGGACTGAAGTTGTTGGATGGGTTGTTCACTTGGAGATAGATCTTTTTTATGAACATGGTATTGTGCAATGAGACAGTTTCTCAGCTGGTATTTCCCGGTCCAAGTATTTCGCAAGATGGTGACCCTGAAACTCCATCGGAATAGGAAATCCGGACAGACTAAAACAGTTGTATTACTGCCAAGTGCAACATTGTCCTCTGGAAAGAAAACGTGCAGGACAAAAATTATCGAGCAATGGACTTTATTCACGAGTCGGCCATGTTAAATTGATAGCGAGGTCAACTCTTCAGTTTTGAAAATTGCGAGTAGAAATGACAGCAATGAAATACAAGTGCATTACAAATTAATACCAGTCTGCTCGACTGATAAGTATTAAAATTTATGATTAAACAATTATACCCAAAATGTTTAAGCCACATTTAAAAAAAATCGAAAGTGAGGCTTGGAACGCACTCTGGCAACATCTCATTCAACAGTTTACAATTTATAAAATAGATTCAGGGACTAGGATCTTCATTGGCTTCCTCGTCAATTAGATCTATTGCCACGACCTGATAGACTTGGTTGTTTTGAAAAAGGGGATTTGGGGTGCTTCATGCCACGCCCCTCTGATTATCCCCATGTCTCTGATACAATGATGCTTTCTGCAACTTCTATCGCTCAATATGATTGGTCGTTCATTATTTTGTGATGATATCGAAAGCGGAATATAACGGGTTAAACGATTTGCATAGTCTGAGCAATTGGGAGACGAAAAGATAACAGCCGTTTCCGTGGGAAAATTTATTTTATTGATTCTATGCAATCTTTGCGGAAATGGTACGTTGGCAGGGGATGGGCAAAGAAAAACCCAAAATACAGGCTTACGCCAGTAATTATTCAGAAAAGGTGGCGAGTGTGGGAATCGTGTACGGTCACACAAACCCTTTTGCACAGAAGTCAAAAGGAATGATTATGTTGGTACTTTTTCCATCATAATTTGTTTTCGAATTTATCAATCTTAAAGAATTCCATTATTATATTGCTTGCTTGACAGAATGTCGAATCACACAGCTTCGACCGGTGCACCGACCGAAGAACAGACCGCCAACTCGGCTGAGAACTCCAGGATGCGACCCACCGGCGCAGCACCGCCAGCATCGATATCAACGGGCCAATCGGCGTTCATTCTCCCACGAGGAGTACGCATCACTGTGCTCGTGTCATCCATTTGCCTGCTGATAACCGGTTCAGTGCTGCTCATACTTGGAGCCATCGGCACAACCAATGGTGCCCTACAGGGGCTCACGGGCATAAATGCTGCAACTACCGGTGTGACGGTAATAGTCTTCTTTCTTTTTGTTAAATGGGGGGGGGGGGGGGAGGGGGTGTCAATTTCGTTCAGCACGAACCATTAAAATCTCTTTAATTGGTAATTAAGGAGGGTGCTTATTGGCCGGGTTTTAGACCTTGCCATTTATTAACTCAGATTTCTGTATTTTTCGTTACAGCTTACTATCACCGGTTCTATTGGCTGTTTCGTTTTCTTCATGACCAGGGCTGACAAAGTTGGGAGATGGAAAGTAAGTATGGGACCCAAACATTTCTTTGTTAAAAGTAGATCATCACATTACAGCATGTGACGTCACATTTCGGAAGCTGGCTTTCATGGATGTGGCAGTGCTGTTGCATGCAACCCTCATCTACGACATTGAAGCCAAAAGTTATATTTGTTTTAATAAAATAGACCTTATGTTTCGTTCGTTTCTGTAGCTGATACTATTGGTGGTTGCCTGCCACGCCTCTGGAGCCTTTGCCATACAGTGCACCATTATAGCCGGGCAGATGACGTCGAGAACCCCACCCTGTGAGAACGTACCGGTGACCACCAGCGACGAATTGGTAACCGGCAGTGGCACAGTGCCGCCATTGTTTACCTGCGTTTCTGATGTAAGGAGAATAGCCGAGAACCACCAGGGACCGTTTCAAAAGGGGCGGGGAGGGGCGGGGCCAGTTTCTAAGCGAGGAAGAGTAGTTCATGCATGTTCATGTCCACAAGCCCACATATTTGCAAATTAAACCTTAAGTCAGTTTTACAGGTCTCTGATCGTATCACATAAGCCATTTTTAACACTCAAAATGTTACTTGATTTTAAGGCGACATTGCATTTAAATCATCACTAGTTAATTATAAATCAACACCACACAGACACTCAAATGAACGATGACAGAGGCATTCGTTCAAGTTTAGCCCATTTTGTAACCATGTCTCAATTAGGCCTATAATTCTGTAGGCGTACAATGCAAGTTATTCAAATTAGGCCTGCATTAATTCAAAATGAAAGAACAATGTACTTCTTACATTTTCAGGCGACTCCTCAGGTTCTATCCCTAGTCATCCTCCTACTATCCATCTTGGGATTTCTCCTTGGCATCGTCTGCTCCGCATCCTGTTACTACGCAGTACCTCGTCTGTTGTGCTGCCTCTGTGACGCTCCGCCTTACCATCACCCGGCCAAAGCCAGCCAGGAGCCGGCTACACCCGCCGAGGTTCAGCCGGTACTGGCTGGCCAAGCTGAACCGGAGCAAAATCAACCTACTGCTGCCGACATCGTCGATGTCTGATCACAGGACCAGAGCAACGCACCAACTGCATTCATCAAAATCCTTGTTCTTGTCGGCAAAACCATTGTTTTTGTCGACAAAATCGCGTCAGTCGGAAGTTTTTAATTTATGGCGCCATAAATAGCGCCACCTAGAGCCAGATGATGTACCCCGGACGGTTTTAAAAGTCGACAGGCGACAAGCCCAGAGGCAATTTGTTGCATTTTCATTTAGGACGCTGAAACATTTTAAAACATTGCCCGTTGAAAAGAATGAAAACGACACCCAACTCTGGCCCCCATGAAGACGATGTGAGGCTTCGTGGGCAGAAAATACATCTAAATAGAGTATGAGGGGTTTAAGTTCAAGAAAGCAAAAACAAAAGGTGAAGCCAAAACAAAGCCGAAGTTTAAAAATACCCACTACCGGTACTATTTAGTCTCAGCTCAATTCGCCCTGCTCACTTGAAAAGTCAAAGTCAGGAACGGCTTCGTTACAAACTGGAAGGGGGGGGGGGAGTTGCAGAAACTCGTCTTTTTTTGGATTTCATGACACCGACAAAGCTTGGACAACCTCACCACTAATATGAGGATTGTTGTAATTGATTGTTGTACCTGTAGGGAATCACTTGGCCTGTTCCACTTTTTGGCGCGGGGGGGGGGGGGTTGAATGTTGATATTCTTAGCATTTGAGTGCCTGCATATTTTAGAATCGTGTTATTCAATTTCAATAACTATGAAACAACTTCACTGCTTATATAATACACTGAGTGAATTTTTAAATATATCTTTGAATTGAAATTGCATGATTGAAATTAATTTATCATTATATTAAATATAAATCTCCTAATTTCCTTCTTTTCCGTCACTTTTCATTGGCATAAACATCACAAAATATCCATCTATCACTGATATATATTCTTATAACAAGTGATATTTGTCCAAAAAATGAGTATCAACGTAATCGAGGTTACAAAATGTTTTGAACATTGCGTGTACATATTTTTTGCGTGTTTTGCATGTCATTATGATTAACAACTATACACAACCTTTTTGCAATGTGCAGTATTTATATCTCAATTGTCTATAAATTACTTAAATTATGAACTGCTGTACAATTAAACTGTACAGACATGAAATATATAGAACGATCGTCTTCAGACGTTTTTGAAATGTTGTCAAAGACAGGATGGGGTTATTTTCCACACAGAATTAAAATCACAGAGAGAGGCCATTGACAAGGATGTAATAGTTATGCGCCTTTCAAATGTCCCTCCCCTCCCCACCCCCACCCCCGACGCGGGGATTTGGCTACGTTTTTCATGCCCCAGGGTGGGGATTTGGGTCACTCAAATTACATTGTTAACATTGGCGTGTTACATTAAAGGCAATCACTAGTGCGCCCCACGTATGTATATATCGGGGCATGGTCGGGGATTGTCACTTAAATTTTGCCCGAGGGGTGGGGATTTTGTCGCTTCAAAAGTGACAATCCCCACGTGTTGGGTGGGGCAGCCCGGGGGGGGGGGGGGGGGGAGGGGAGGGGAGGGGGGGGGGAAACAATTGATAGGCGCATTACATATTCTTGTTTATTTATAAGGGCATATAATTTTTCTGTAGATCTTTGATCTTTTTCATCAAATATACTGTTACATGTATATAAATATTTTGTGAAATTTTACAATTTTGGTCGTTTGAAATAAATCTGTTGCTAAATTACACAATAAAAGGCAATGAAAGAGTATACATGTACAGCCAAAGTACTGTTACCAGAAATATCCCATGTTTTGTATGGCTTATCAAAATAAAATTATAGGCAAAAATGTCTCCCAAATTATGGACCCATAGTCTAGAACTAAACATGAATGTATTATTAAAGCTATTCATGTATTTCCTACGCATCAGAATATATCAAATCATAAATGATAACCCATCAATTATTACAGACTGAATTTCTTTAAAAATCTTAATAGCAACAAATACAAACATTTAATAACAAATAATCTGGAATAAATGTCTTAATTATAATCACAACTATTACATAAATTGTAATACACAGTCTTTCTATGACAGCCTGACTCTGCATTAATGTACATGTATATGTACATGTACATCTAGAATAAAGCATCTACAATTACATCCAACTCACACAAGTTTCAAAGTTGTCGTCGGCAAAACAATAGTACCTTCAAAATTTGAAAAATTGTACGTAAAAATAGATTTCACAATGATTTCTGAATTTTGTGCAAGAAAAAAATTTGAGGTCTGTGCAAAAATCTAGAGTAAACCATTTACCATTTTACATAATTTTCAAAGTTGTCATCGGCACATCACCTTCACAGTTTGAAAATTGAATACAACAGACAAAACGTTTTCTGAAGGTTTGTGCACAAACATGGAAAACTTAATCTGGTTCAAGTTCACATGGTAAAGTTTTTCAAAAGTGGTAAATATGGTTAGGAACGAAGCAGCATTCCTGAGTAATCTTGTGTCGAGTCACAGACACCAGTACCTCTTCTTCACAACAAAGCACACATTATTCTCATCTCTCTTAAGAATATTTCTAGCACACCAAATGACAATGTAATACTGATAAACTGATTCGTTTTTAATTGTTTTGCACTACTTGCCAAAAACAAAATGACCAATGGGAAAACTCCAACCTTATGATTTCTCTAATCACCTAAGAATCTTACTCAAAACACTAAAGACACCAAAACACCATAGAGAAACGACGTGTGATGTCATCTGTCTTTGTTCTAGTGTGAGCACGTTGATGTCAATAATAAGCTCTGCGCGTAAACCAGAATACGCAGGAAAACTTTGGTATCTATAGACCTTGTGTGCTAAGGTGTTCGTGGGCAATTGTTTTGTTATCACCTGGATAGGTATGAGTGATCCTTTTGTGTATTCATCGTTACTGAATTAAACTAACAAAGAACAGCCTTTGATGAGACACCCGCAACGCATAAGGTCTATGGCCAGTCTGTGAATTAGTACTGTTGTAAGATTTTTTTTAAATGTTAAAAAAAACATAGGTAGGCATACTCTTATGAAGGCAAGTTACAAAGTACAATTATAGTACATTGAACCAAACTTTAAGAAAACCAATGAAGTTCTGTTGGCAAAAACAACTGCACACTAGTACACTGGCAGCCTCAATCCGAACCCAACCCAATGAATCCCTGCCCAGTCTACAGCAAAACTGCAACCAAGACAATGATGATAGTGATTGACAGAACGATCTTGAAGAGAAGGGACGAGGTCCAACTAGAGCTAGTTTCAGGGTCTTTGCCGTAGCCTAACTGACGTAAGTGAGCCAGGGAGTCTTCTAAACCCCGTTGGAGAGGCTGATAACCCAGCTGGTCCTGTGCCTTCTCATAGCTGACTGTGTGGTGGAGAGCTGCCTGGAACATCTGAATAAATTAACCATTAACCATAAAACTCAGTTAAATAAAACTAAACACTGACCAGAAAACTGAGTTAAAACTAACCATCCACCATAAACTGAGCCAAACAGCATTAACTGTTCAGACATCAGTTACAAACACATAAACCATTACACAGGCTATGGACAATTAACCTGGTTTATACCAAATAAAAGGAGATGCACCATTAACAATAAACTTGAAATGAACCAATTAAACATTCACTATAAAATAAGAGCTAAACAAAATTACTACTTGTTAATTTTAGAGTGATTTTTTTTAACTTATTAGAGTCAAGAATAAGATTATTCCATCATGCTTACCTCAGTTCTAGTGAAGCCGACAAAGTTGTAAAACGGTTTCACAAGAAAATGCACAATTTCAGACAGGAAGGCTGCAATGAAGAGCAATCAATTTTGTAGGTTTAAATGCTGTAAGGACTCACATTTGTTTGACTTCAAAATTATAAAAATTGCTAATATCTAAAGATAAAAGACAGAAGCAGAGCGATAGTTTTCTAATGATATCAAATACTTCAGTATAAGCTTGTTGGTTAGTCTTAATGAAATGGTTACAATTAAATGTTGCAATTGATGAATTTAAGGTTTTAAAAGATAAACCTGGGGTTCTTGGCAGCTTGACTCCCATTTTGAGGCATGTCACTTATCTTCACTTGTGATCTACAAAATCAATTGCCTTAAATTTGACATTTGGGTTTCTAGAAGCCCTGTGCTACAATTTGGGTACTGCTTTCCTTGGGGAGTTTTGCTAGGAAATTTTCACAAGAGATTTTCTTTTTAGGATGAGTGACAACTGATACACTGGCTTGAAATCCAGAAAGTAACGGGGGGGGGGGGGGGGGGGGGGGGGGGGCTGCCCACGTCACTTCATTATACTATTTCTTACCTAGGCAATATAGCACACCAAGTGGAAGCCAAGCATCAGGGAAGGTGTAGCCTAAGCCGGTGATGATTGGTTTGAAGAAAAGGCAATTGTTGATGGGTGTCTCGTCTGTGATGAAGTACGCCTGGTTCGCCTGGAACACAAGACACAAAACAATATCTCTGACAAGGTAACTATTACTGATGTTGGGTGAAACACCGCCCTCTAATGTTAATGCACAGAGTCCATTGTTTGTTCCTTACCGATATGTGATTCTTGCCTGCCGACAGCCCGTCTGCCGCCAGTAGGTGGCCATTCACCAGGTTGTCCACATGAACCCAGTTTGTTTTACTGTCAGGACTGCCCAGGTTTGCCTTGTAGATTTTTAAAATGCCCTGTGAGTGGATAAAAAGATAAAACACAATAACATCTTCCTTTCAATCCAGAAAAATACAGAGGATTATTTTGAGTGTTTATTTTGGGGCCTGACATGCCAGAGTTTGCCTTTTTGTCTTCAGCATTTTGAGCACGAACCTTATTCGTGCTCAAAATTGTTGCTTATTATTGGTGATTTATTCATTTCAGCAGTTTGACAGACATGGTTAATCTGGTTGAGAAACCTTTTCCCAATTTTCATTTTTTTTTCTGCTTACTTAATTAAAATTTAGTCAATTTTTGGATTGCAAGGGCATTCATATTCCCTTACCACAATCCTACTGAAATGTCTCTGTTCCCCAGCACCATAGATGCCCGGTGGTCTGATTGCACACGTGTGCAATATCTCACCATCTGCAAAAAAAAAACAGTACAAATTAGAAGCCTCAAGAAATGATTTTGCCCCACATGCAATTTATCATGAAAATATCCATATCTCTAAAATATACAGATGTAGATCCTTTAGAATTTAACCCACATTTTTTTTGTACAGTGAAATCTTGATAAGCCAAACCTCAAGGGAACAGGTTCAAAATTTGACTAAGCAGAGTTTTGAGTTATTAAAGCAGGGTTGTACATGTATGTCATTGTTATACTACTGATGGCAATGGATTCTTGTTTGACTTAACAGTTGTTTTGAGTTATCAGAGTTTAACTTATGGAGATTTCACTGTACATGTATGAAGTGCAAATATCTCATTAATTATAGGATTCAGAATAAAAACTTCAAAGTGTTTTAAAATTGCGAGGGAACCCTACACTTTTAATTCACTGAAATTGAAAGTTAATTTAAATTTTAAAATAAAACAGCCGGTTGAACCTTTGCAAATCAGAGCAATTTAAATAAGGTCAGACATGAGCATGTTTTATGAGGGTTGGTTTTTTGCTAGTAGTGACATGTGCATTGGATCCTGATGATGCATCTGAAGATCACAATCTACTCACTTTGTGTTTGTCGTCCGTTTGATTTTAAGACAAGCACCTCTGCAATGCTTTTAGTTCTGGAGTAGTCATCTGCATGCTGTAAAGATCACAATCAGGAATCTTGACCTCCTCATTTGCAAATGAAGTAAACGTACAAACTCCATAGCTTTGCCAGATACACAATGTAACTCATTCCAAATTGAAAACATTTAATATGTTAATTATTGTGAAGTGAATCTATTCTGCAGTATCACACAGCAGCACAGCTGATAACGTATCTCAACAAACTACAACACAACTAAAGGTCAATGACTTACAATATAAATGATACAGTGGGAATTATAAATTCACAAATTTCAAAATTCATACATTTTTCTATACAACTTATAATCAATGTCAAGTATTAAAGCATGCCCTAGAAAGGTCCATCAGCCCACGTGTGTTGTAAAAGTTTTGCTCCGTACATTTTGCATATTGCTGTGAACAACCTTTTCCCATGTAAAATAAAATTGCCTTAATACAGCAGGGTACAAAGAGTTGTTTGGAATTCATATCAAGAAAGTGTTGACCTACAGCTGATAAGCAGCTATTTTTAAAGCTCCAGAGATATGAATTATCGCGTACAATTCTACTATTGCTTTGGGGTAGCTTCATGCAACAATCCAAAATCCAGCGTGCAGTTTAATTTTGCCGTACAATGTTATGTTTTCTAGGTTTGTTTGACTTCAACACAACACTATGAGAAGAGAAACGCAAAAGATTCACACGGTTGTACCTTAAGTATGCAACAACTCAAAGTCAAGGACATAATAAATTGTGGCAACGTTTCTAACAGCATATAATTAAAATAATAATATATTACATTTATATAGCACTTTCTACGGGTGTTTCAAAGCGCTCTCTATTTTTTAGAGACAGGTAAATGAAGTTGATGAAAATATGAGACACATTATGTAGCGCCTTTATTTGGGTTTACAAGGTGCTGCGGCACACTTTGCAGCCACTGCCACTTTATCTAGTGACCAGGTGACAAAGTAAAAGATCAAATTTGGAAAGGGGAACATCCATTCTTAGTATTAATATTAATGTATATCAATTGTCATGTGTAGAACAAAATTAAGAAAAACGAACAAAGAACAAACGAAGGCACAAAAAACTTAATATCCAAATTGTGTACAAAGTGTCAAAAATGGCTTCAGATAAAAATTCCTTCCGTAAGTCTTTACCAGATCGAAATCCGTTATATGATTTTTTTTTTAAGCAAAAAAAAAAAAGCAGAGCACAGACAAACCAACTCTCTGAAAGGGATTGTAACTTACCTCCTCAGGAGGGATCCGTGGGAGCTCTGCCTCAGTAGCCATGTCAAACGCCTTGCTGCCCAAAACAACATTGATGGTACTGGTGTAAACTAGCCGAGCAACGTTCTGCTTGATGCATGCTAACAAAAATATAAGTGAGGATAAATAATAATTGTTATAGCATGCAGAGGTAGCTACTACAAGGATGTGGTGCAGTAACTGCAGTTAAGTGTTCTCCAATCTTGCTGCCGTTTTTGTTCGGCATTAGGCGAGTACCTAGTGGACAGAGGCCATATTCTGAGAGATGTATCAAGATTATTCACTGTGTTTATTCCTACCCCCTGCAGCAAGGCATGATTCCAGATCAATATTTTCATATTTTTGTTTGCTAACTTGTAAATAACAAAAAGTCAAAAGTAGTTCAACATTTGAATTTCCTTGTTCAGTAATTCCTCCTTGTTCAGTATTTCTAACAAAACCTCTTCCCTCTGGGTAACATTGTCAAATGATCTATGCCAAAAAAATTCCCAAATTCCAACGGCACATACTTTATGAAAGCCAACCAAATGTTAGATTTCAAAAGATTTTGTTGGGTAAAGGTTCAAAGAAACATCTATAAAGGTTCTCAAATACCCTACAAAATCTATTGCCCAACCAGGTTCACTGGGGCACCAATTCGTATGAAGTGCTGAATTTATGCATTTATTTGTACGAAGATCAGCCATGCTTTTTCAAACTCTCAAAGACACTAAAAATAGACAAAGTTCACAACACTTGTAAACAACGACCAAAACTGTATGATGCCACAGTACAGGTTATTCACGACACTTAAAATCTATTTTTAGGTGCGTGCGTGACAATTTTAGATCAGTGTACTTTGTACCTTCAAGTTCATAGTGATAACATTCATGGATGAAAATGTGATATCTCATGCTTCATTTTTTTAAATTTCAAAGTAAATAAAAGTAGCCACTACCTCTTACAGACAAGCAATAGAATGAATGTCCTACCTTCTATGACATTTTCTGTTCCTCCAACATTGATGCTCTCTATAAAATCTCTTTTCTTCATCTGAAAAAAAATTCAAAGAAAAAATTATGCCATTAAATAGAAGCTTGTTTCACATTCTTTTAAAATAAATAACTCAAAAAAGAGTCAAAAGTTGAGCAGACAGGACAATAAAAACAATGTTAACATAATTTGCATTTTATGAAAGACTTGACTTTTTACAATTAGTTGATGAATTTGTTGAGAGAAGGGCCAAAAACGTGGGCTTAGTTTGCATGAAATCACACTGACTTGTTGGTGAAAAGGATTTTGTTGACAAATGAGACATTTACCATTTCTGCTCCTGACATGCCGAACGATGCAATATGGAATACGCAGTTGACATCTTTGCAGAGTTCCTCCACCAAATCTCTGTCCCTGATGTCCCCCTTCGTGAAATTAACAAAAAGGAAAAATGCAACTCAACACAATTTGTTATTCTCAACCAACAAAAGCTTCTAAAATCCTTATTATTGCATTCAATTAAACAGAGAATGTAGATGCAGGCCTGTACACCATTGAAATTGAAAGTGAAAGGAATAAGCTTTTCCTAACCTGCACAAATGTGATATCTTTGCTGTAGTCCTCAATGGGCGTTCCTTTGTCGGTTATAACCACTGCGCATCCAAGCATGTGTAGCGCCCTCGCTAGATGAATGCCAAAGAAACCACCGCCACCTGTCACCAGAACTTTCTTTCCCTTGAGAGACGGTACATCTAATGTGCTGAAATAATAACAATGTTGGCTCAAGGTGTTAAGTCTGTTTGAATTTAAATATCTGCCATACAATGGGTTGTACTAACAATGAAATAAGGCCGAGTAAAAAAAAAAAAATAGTTTCTCGTCCGGGGTTTTTGGAAAAAGGGAGGAAGCGGGGCTTTTTATTTTTAATTTTTTTCAAGATGACCGCCTTTTCAAAATTCCTGCAACCGTTGGTGTTCTACTGTTCAAAGACACTTTTAAAGATGAAAGACAAGTTGGACAAGAGAACTGAACATATTTACAGTGTCATTTAGAGTTGTATTGGTATTGGTATTTATTTTCCGATGAATTTGTAGACTTTTTCAGTGTTTTTCTACTACATTTTTCAAAAATAAAAAATAATAAAAAAATCCAGGCGGCCTCCAAAAAGGAAGCGGGCGGGGACGAGAAACTTGTTTTTTTTTTTCTTCGCCTAATGCAATATTATATAAATTTAACTAAAACAAATTACAATAACACTTATTTAATCAAATTTAGGGCATGGATACATGTTAAACTAAGCTACAGATTTCCTGTCCTTTATTTTCAAGTTATTATGAAGAAACTATTCTTTAAAAAATACTGCCCCTTATGTTTTTTCAGTAAATCATGCTTCAATATTTTCGGGAAAAAAGTTACAACCTGACGCCACTTCATGTGGAGAGTCAAGAAAATTTTCTATTCCCTAACATGTCTTAATCATTATTGTCAGGTTGCAACATTTTTACCATATTTTCCCTGCTAAATTTGACTTTTTAGGACATGCTAACGCTTTCTGATGGCTGAAGTTCACTGCAGTGAAATATTAAAAATAAGTGATTTCCAAAGCATGGAGTCCAATAGCCCCATAAATGTGGCTAGTTTACTGGACTACCTCCGTAAATATAGGCCACACTTGGAACATGTAGGCCTATCCGAACATGCAGAACTTTGTCAAGTTTTTATTTTCACATTTAGACTTTGTTTGTAGTTTATTTATGCTTTAGAAGCACATCACCCTCTTTAGTTTAAAGCAATAGAAAATTAGTCCCCCCTTTTTCAGACATCTATATTTCATATAATTTCAAGGTTCGTTTGCACACGTTTGCGCATCTCAATTCCAAAACATTATTACAAATTACATAAAAAGTAGATGTCTGAAAATTGGAGGGACCAATTTTCTGTTGCTATAAAGAGGGTGAGTATGCTTCTAAAGTGTAAATAAACTACAAATAGTCTAATTGTGAAAATCCCAATTTGACAAAGTTCTACATTTGTGGGCACATGTTTCAAGTGTGGCCTTTATTTACAGAGGTAGTCCAGAAATTGGCCACATTTATGGGGCTAGGACTAGGAGTCCATAGTCCAAGTATGAGATTCTTCCCTTTTCTCATGAATATTTAGTTTATTTCAATGGATACTTCAAATACGTCCAAAGATTGATCATTGCAACAGCGATCGTGCGCGGCCTAGCGGATAAGAGACTCATGTATCAAGCAAGCGTCCGAGGTTCGAATCTTGATGAAGTGAGCGACTGATTGATAAATAGAAATTAAGGAAAGGAGGGGGTGAGAGTAGAGGAGGGAAAGTGGAGGGAATAACCATAAACATGATAAAAAGAGGTAACTTTTGGCGCTAGAAAATTAATTGAAAAAAGTGGTGATCGGATAGCCGAATTTTTCCGATCATGCAACAGTGTGCAATGCATGCTGTGCCTAGGTTGAATAACTCCAGCTGACATGCTCATCAGGAATTCATGTGACTTCTTGTTTGATGGGTATTTCAGCTGAGTTACTCACATGACTCGGCTAGGCGGCTAGCTATGGTACCGTTTCGCCCGCCGGTTGGTTGATGGGCTTCTTGTCATTTTTTAGTGATACGATCTGACCAATAAAAGTGACTGGATTACCTCAGTAAATCACCCACACGTTCTCTGTGCCTCTCTGAACCTATCCATGACTTGACGGTTGCCATAATCTCCCAAATGTACAAAAAAAATCGACAAAACGAACGAGGAACGAAGCATAGAGCAAGGAAGTAACTTCGAATTCGATGCAAATTTCAGTGATTCCAGCTGATCTTGTGTTTAGTCGGATACCGTCCACAATCAAGGTACAGCTATAGCTTCAACACATGTAGGGACAAATAACCACACCGATAAATAAATGGACTTGTAACCTAGTCCTCCATTTGCTTTCCCAACTTTCGCTACGAGGGGCGTGGCGCGGGAAGGGCGTTGTGTGGAACTTCTACCATTCAGCCAAAATATCACGCTTTCCATATAATTTGCGTATATACTGAAAATAAACAAACCAGAGAGCAACTGTTTGGATATACGTAAAACAAACGTTTTGTTAGGCAGGAATTTCCATTTTTTTCAAAATCACAAGTTACTATTTCATATTAGGGTAGGCTCAAAAATTATTCATGTCCAACAATGTTTTTTAGCCTTCCCCCACCCCCATCCAAAAAAACTCACCAACAACAACGGGGGAAAACAATTTCAGACAATAATGTCTCAAAAAGACTCATATTTTACATACAAGTGTTTATTACACACTTTACTCACGTTAGAATATTTGAAAGGCACAATTCTTTAAAAACTAATGTTTGTGTGAAAATATTAATTTCTTAAAAGGGCATTTTTTTTCTGGATCCTCAAACCCGAGGAAAACAGCTGTTAAATTTCAATCATCCCCGAAAAATAATTTTCCTTGAACAATGCCAAATACTTGACATTTTTTTTCTTCAGTTTTTGTAAATGTTCACTTGTACAGTGCAATTAGGCTGACGCCACTTTTTTCTTCATAGGCCTATAGGCCTATCATCTCAATAAAAGGTCAGTCGTTGCAAAAATGTTAAAAAGACACGAATCTGGGACTGAGAAACATTTTCCAATTTTGTTAGAAAATACTTGGAAAATTTACTCACTTTGTACACAACCGCTGATGTGGCGTCTTGACACAGTGTATGAGATTTACATCATTGTTTACACCGGAGGAATACAAATTTTCGTTGTCTTTAAGTAGTGTTCGCAAAATGTTGTCGACAACTTTTACACTCGTTCAGTTAAAGGGCGTGGGCCCGTGCAAATGCAATCCTTGAAAATGCACCTTTGCGCCCCATACATTTGTTTTCGATTTTTGTTTTTCCATTTTCAAAGGTATATTGGTGCCTTTTTGGTTTTCATGTTAATGCCATTTCCATACTCAAAAGTGTGATGTCGTTTCAGGCAGAAACCTCAATGTTATTATTTCAGCACCAAAATTGCCGGAATATTAGATATTTTGCTGCGTAAATGTAAAATTCTGTTCTTTTGTGATTCGTTGCATCAGTGCATAGCATGTAAGCCAGTGAGCAGACTTTTCTCACAAAATGTTTTCAGTTAGCACATTTGTGGGTTCACAACTTAAACAGAAAAATCCTTTAAAACTGAACAGTGTCTTCCTGATGACATCACAGCAACAGCGCCCACAGTTGTCCGGAAAGGAATGGAACCAGGCGCGGTTCTAGAACCAATATTTTGGGGGGCTAGCACGGTGGATCCAGAATTTTTTTCAGGGAGGCGTGCTGAAATGTTGACCGGTTATTTTTTCCAGACACTTAGGCCTCCGAAAATCAATAGGTAGGTGGGGAGGGGGGGGGGGGGGGGGCTCTTGCCATATTTTCAATGGGGAGCGCCAATAAAATCCTAAAATAATTCACACTATATTAACTAATGCACCCTTGTCACGGCTATTTCTTCTTTAGGGGGAGACCGTTCGCATGTACATCACAATCCTTCTTTTTGCTAGCCCCCCCCCCGTAGAACCGCGCCTGAATGGAACATTTTAAATATTTTAACAAGTGCACTTTTCAATAAAATTAACCAAAAAGTGATGTCAAACAGTTTGCATACATTTAAGAGTAGAACGTTTCACAAAATATGTTCTTAAAGAAAAATTCATCGCATAGACCCTTTAAAAAGAATAGAAATAGAATAGAAAATAGTTTATTAATCAATCAAGGAAATTACATTTGCTACCGGTACAATAAAGAATGAGTAGTTTACAATCAAAGATATGCAATTTTACAAAAACACTAAAAATTACATGCTATCACAAAAACACTAAAAATTACAACCTATCACAAAAACACAAACAATTACATGTATTGGAGATTTTACGGTAAATCAAACTTACAATAGAAATCAAACAGTTTTAGTATCATGAAATTTAGTACGACAATCGAAAAAAAGTAGTTCTTGATGTATCTCAAAATGAATGCCATGTTGTCTTTGTTTCTCTTTTAAAATAACTAGGAATAGAAAAATAGGCATCGTTTGTATCAATTTTGTGAATCAATTTTAGTATCATAAAATTAAGTACGACAATCGAAAAAGGAGTTCTTGATGTGTCTCCAAATGACATGTTGTCTTTGTTTCTCTTTTAAAATAACTAGGAATAGAAAAATAGGCATCGTTAGTGTTTCATCATTTTAATGTTAAAAATACATTGTTTCCATGTCTAAATTAGACCACGTTAGACATATACGTTCAAGATACAAATACATGTACAAATATGCGAAAAACAGTTGCTGTTTCAGTTGAACTCTGCATTATAAAGTGGCACATTGTGATTACAAAACAACTTGTCTCGCTGGATGGTCCGATAAGGAGGTTACCGACCCTCATCCCAAAAAGGTTTCGAGCATTTTGTTTTCTCATTACTGGCAAATGTTTTACTTTTTCCCCGACAGGAAACAGTTCTGCGGCCAGCAGACCTGTAAACCTCTCTATATGAATTATGATTAATATACAACGCGCAATGATTATGATTAATGGATCTTCAAATCTGAAAAAAATAAAAAATAAAACAAAGTTGAACAATTTTCCTTTCAGTCGTGGACGCTCTGTTCAGAGATTTGTCCAGGAAAAGTTCATCTGGGTAAGTTGTGCAAACTCCTGGTTATAGGGCCGGAAGAAATCCCTGAGTTGTTGGATGACGTCGGGACCGAGGTCTGCTTTAGGTAGAAACCCAGGGGTACTTGGGTGTGGGCAACCAGACCGCATACAAGGCGCCTGTCTCTTCTTATCGTAGTAGAACATGCTCCTCTTGTAAAATGACTCCAGACCCAGAAACTTCTCCAAGTTCTTGAGTTCACTGTACAGGTCTTTATCCACGCGCTCATGACTCAATATATAGAATCGATCTCTCGGAAAGCTCTGCAACCACCTCTTGAAATGCATGGAGTAGACACTTTCTCTTGTCAATCCTTTGGACATATCTACCTCACCATTACGATTGAAAATCATTTCTACGAAGTGTTTGGCTTGTGTGGCAGGCGTTTCGCCTCTGGCCATGGAGGGGTTGCGATTGAGCTTCAACTCATATTCGTGTCTGAAGTCCGATATGGTTCTCTCCACGGGATCCCGCACGCATACCACGAACTTGACATTGGGCGGTAGATCCTTCAACATCCTCTCCGGTACATTCTGGAAGACGAAATATGACGGTGATTTCTCAAACTGAAGCATGTGTTGTGAGCTAAACCCCATTCTAGATAGGTAGTAGTCTAAGCCTATTTCGTAGTCAATACTGAAGTAATGTATTTCTTCCAGTAATGCGCGAGCAATCTGTGGATGTTGCACAAGGTAGTACAAAAACGCTGTTGTGCCGCCTTTTTTTACTCCAAGGCAAATGACTGTAGGTAAGCGTTGTTCATAGCCCAGTTTGCGCATGCCGGCTCTGAGCACGGCCCATTTCTTTTGAGCACTTAAGTTTGGCCAAATAACTGTAGCCTTCTGCTCGTCATATTTCAGTCCTGTAATGTTCGCGAAGGATGCCTTAACATCTGAGGACATAAACCTGAGTGCATTTCCCAACAGTTGGGATGAGGTGATGGAGTACCGTCCGCCAGTATGGAGACGGTTCGGCTGAGCAACTGGTTTAGTTTTAACTGGTGGGGTTTTCTTGACGATCATTTTATCGTCCTTGACGATTGACGTTTCAGCGATGACTGTTTCATGCTTGATCGAATGTTCATCCTTGACGATCGAATGTTCATCCTTGAAGTTCCCTGTTTCATCCTTAAAGTTCCCTGTTTCATCCTTGAAGTTCCCTGTTTCATCCTTGAAGTTCCCCGTTTCATCCTTGAAGTTCCCTGTTTCATCCTTGACGATCGCCGTTTCATCCTCCACGTTCTCATTGATAATCGGTGCGCGGCGGTTAACAATGTTATCTTCAACTTGGTCATTCTTCTTGTCTGTTTCTGAATCAAGAGCAGGAATCTTTTCACCGTGGTAAATCGTTCCCAAAGACTTGTCACCAGCCTCTTCTATTTCTGAATCGGCTGCAGAAATCTTTTCACTGGGGTTATCCCGGTCGGATCCAGCGGCACCAATGTCGCTTTCTTTCTCGTAGCGGCTTTTTATTTTGGCAACATCAAAACGGCTGACTGGGGCCACGCCTCCCAATCTCTGATATACAAACCATTGGTCTGGTTCGAATACAACCAGAAAACGACCGAGTGTGAAGAATGCTAGACACAGTAAGAATACAGCTCCCTTGGTCTTCAGACTGCTTGAAGACATGGTGAAGGTGATTCTCAAGGGCACAACCTGGAAGAACAATTAATTTTTTTGTTTAAATATCAATTTCAGATGTTATTTTCATTTTATTTTCCCTTATATCGGAAAATTGGTTTGTAAAGCGGCTGCGGTGTTTGCCCAAACACCACAGCCCAGCTTGAAGTCGAGGTGTGGTATTAAATGTTGAACGTTTTTTGAAGGTATAGTCCTATACTGTACTAAACACACTGAAGTTGATCAAGGGCGGATCCAGAACACGATTTTTTTTGGGGGGGGGGCCCAAAAAAAATTTGGTTCCCCAAAAAAGTGGGTCAAAAAAAATTACGGCGTGGGGTTCGGGGCCCGCTTAAGGGGCCCGAAAAAATGTTTGGATTCTAGATGCTCTGTGGTGCGATCTGAGGCAATTTCTGACCACTTTAACCAATGTTTTTTTGAGGAAAAGATGGTGGTGTACTCATTGCCTGCCTTTATTGCGATGTCACATAAAAAAAAAAAATTGGTTTCGTTTCTTTGGGGGGGGGGGCATGGCCCCCTTTGGCCCCCCCCCCCTGGATCCGCCCATGAAGTTGATCTTATCAACTTGATTGTTTCCTGAAAGTCACCTCTAAACTGCATTAATAAAATAAAGTGACCAACAAGAAGAGAAAGAGGCGAATTCTGGTACAACCATGTATGCAGGTGCGGACAAATCCATAAGACGATGTTATTTTTTAAAGGCCACACGAAGAAATTTGTGATTATTGCAAAGAGTCGTCGTTACGTAATGATCAGTTTCTGCAGCCCTACCAATCAATATACATGTACATGTATTCAATTTCAACAACTGACAGAATAAGCCATTTGCGAGTAACCTATACCCTTTGGGATTTACATTTCAATAACATCTGGTACACTGACTTGCTCAGAATGCTTGGCACATTTTAACTTTGAATTCTCCAGACCAAAGACACTGTTGCGGGCAAGCTCTTACATAGTTACGTAAGAGACGCTCAGCATCAAAACATCGCTCACAATGGGTGAGAATGCGGGCACAAAGACACCAGACCATGCCAGAGCTGGGTGTTGCCAGCATAAGGCTTGCCCCGAATCACGTGATGTAGTAACAGTCTCTTTGGTCGGGAGAATGCAAAGTTAAAATGTGCAAAGCATTGGATTAAGTCAGTGTTCCAGATTTTATTCAAATTTAACTCGCAAATGGCTTATTGTTTCCATGAACTAGCCAGCGGTATATCACGGATCATATACACATACAAGGATTAACTGTCACATTTGACGTATATTTCCCGTGTAAATACTTCATCTATGACGACAAAAACTGCACAATACCATCTTTATATCACAAATAGAAGTATTTATGTTTTAACAAGTTATACATATTTCCGTTTTATATGTCCTGTAAAAAAACACACGACAATATACCTGGAACATGACTGGGCTTTCATATCCTAGATTTTAAAAGTGCTAAAGGCAAAACTTGGTTTCGTTTTATTTTTTACTCATGCACCCTGTATTACAACTTTAGCAAGCTTACCTGTGCCAAGGTATAACCCAAGGTGACAAACAGAACGCACTCTAGAAAGTAACAAGATTTCATCTACAATGTATAATAAGAAGCATAGCTCAGTAGCTTCGCTGCGTGTTAACAACGGACAGTCGCTGTATATGGTCCAGCTCTGCACGGTGTAAAGAAGAGATCGTCGCTACTTTTGTAGTTGTGCGTCGGAGCATAACAGCCAGCGGCCATTTCAACAATAACATCGTCTATCTCTCGTTAATACAAAGTTGAGGTGTGGTTTTGAATGTTGTACGTTTTTTGAAGGTATAGTCCTATACTGTACTAAACACACTGAAGTTGATCTTATCAACTTGATTGTTTCCTGAAAGTCACCTCTAAACTGCATTAATAAAATAAAGTGGCCAACAAGAAGAGATAGAGGCGAATTCTGGTACAACCATGTATGCAGGTGCGGACAAACCATAAGACGATGTTATTTTTTACAAGCCGCACGAAGAAATGTATTGCAAAGAGTCGTCGTTACGTAATGGTCAGGATCTGCAGCCCTACCAATATACATGTACAATGTAATGTATTCAATATTCAACTAATCATGGACAAATTTTTCCATGAACATTATATTTTTGAATATTCATGCTCCTACGTTTTTGGCATTTATTATTGAAGTCTAATAAGAGATAACTACATAACCATGTTAACGCCGAGCACAATATCTTGAGCTTTAAAATGAACTATGAAATATCGCAATTGTTTTATCGGGTCGGGACCACATCTCTCTCAAACTTTTCAACGAAAGCCTAATTAAAACTGAGATTTGGGTAAACAGTGTTCTCCTCGGAAAAGGTGTCACATTTGACGTTGATTTCCCGGGTAAATACTTCATCTATATGACGAAAAAAATGCACAATACCATCTGTTATATCCTGAACTATTTTTTTAAAACAAGTTTGGAACTTGTACATAATTATCTACACAAGGAGTGGTTTTGCTTTAAGTTTTATGAAAATTTGTCTGTTATAGATGTCATGCAAAAAAAAACGACAAATTGAATGGCACACATGGAATATTCGCGATTTACATGCCAACAGGTATCCATGCGTTCAACCAATAAACCATTTGCGAATTAATTCGAGTTACATCTGGTACCATGACTGCTCGAATGCTTGGCACATATCATTTGTGAATTATTTATTTGCAGTCTTATTTAAACAGGGTGGCCTCCTCAGTTAAAAAAAACTGCTTTCCTTGAGGGCAAAAATAAGATACAAATTAAAACTATAAATCAATTAATTAAGTAATATTTAAAATAAAAAAAATAAAAAATACAGTTATTAAAATGTTATTAAAATGTAAATGAATTCTCCAGACCAAAGAGACTGTTGCTGTATCACGCGATTCGGGGCATGCCTTACGCCAGCAACCCCCAGTTACTGAGAGACGTGCACGTCTTTGTGCCATTTTCACCCATTTTGAGCAATGTATAGAGAGCTTCTCTTACCCAAGTGCAAGAGCTTGCCCCAAATCAGCGTATTTGCCCCTGAATTAATTATAACGTTAATCGGGTAGCCATACATGACAAGAATCATTATACAGGCTTACCTGTGCCAAAGTATAAACAAGGTGACCAAAGAACTCTAGGAAGTACCAAGAAGCATTTCTTCATTCATGTAAATAAGCGTACGTGTACAGTCGAACACCTTGATAACAAGGTCCTTGGGACTTTATAAATTCATTCATTCATTCATTTCGGGATTTATTGTTAGTCCAAGGACTAAAAAACAAAGACTTGGGACCTGAAATCTTGCTTGTAATAAGCATGACGTTGTATTAACAGTGCTCTTCTTATCAGGGTTCGACTGTAAGACATAAGAATAAGACATAAGAAAACGTTATTAATCTCAAAATAAAGAAATTACAATGCTCGCAAAGCCTGCACTCTACGGTAAAGAAGATCGCTTCTTCTGTTGTGCGTCGGACCAACAAACAACATCATCTATCTATAAGGCCAAAAAAGTCTCAGGTTTCTGGTATGGAGCTTGTCCCAAAAGTGGTGCGGCGACGCGGCTTTTTATTTTTTTTTTTTTTACTTTTTTCCCCTTCAAATGTCGGCTGATGACTGCAAATGATGGCCGACTAAATTTAGTGCAAAAATGTACGGGAGCCCAGAATGGCCACATAAAGCTTATACTCGATCGTAACCCCATAAAAAAAAACACGTTAAAATTGTGCAGCAGCAGGATTCCAGTCAAACCAGTGAGTTTGGCGGTTTTGAGACATCATCTTACATAATTGAAAAAAAACTTTTCAATTTTGCCGACGCGCGTATGGCTACGGCGACGCGCGTGCATACCAGAAACCGGAGACTTTTTTTTGGCCTATAATCTAACATTAACAAGGGGCTGCGGACGCTTTTCAAACTGGGGGGATTCACCAAAAAGGGGCCCTTGTCCCGCTGAAAAAGGGGAACCTTCCGTTGGTGCCCAAAAAGCGGGTCAACAAATTCACAGCACACATGGGGTTTGGGACCCGCTAAGGCTCAAGGGCCCCGGAAAAAAAAAGATTTTAATGCTCTGTGGTGCTATCTGAGGCAATTTCTGACCACTCAACCAATTTTGGTGACATTTTTTCTCGTGGTGGTGTTCGTAGTTGCTGCTTTTTTTGTGACGTCAATGGGGGGGGGGGGGGGAGGTATGGCCCCGTTGCCCCCTGGATCCGTCCTTGGCACACCACACACCCTCCGCCAGCGGCAGTAACCTCTCTGGGTCCGCCCATGAATTTGACTAGTTATGTAGAGAGACCAATTTATTTTATCGCGAGAGGGGCACTGCCACTTTTGATGGCCAGCTCAGTGACCAATTTATTCGCGTGAGGAGGAGCACTATTATTTCTAAAGGCCAGTTTTCCATGAAAGAGGTACAATTTTCATGTTGCGAGCTAGGCACTAATAAATTGTGCTTTCGATGGCAGTTTTTCATCTCGAGAAATTATCGTGAAATGCACTTTTGTTTTTGATGGTCAATTTCCCATCTTATGTTGACAACGGACAGTCGCTGTACATGGTCCGGCACTGTTCGGTCTAAAGAAGAGATCGTCGCTACTTTTGTAGGTGTGCGTCGGAGCATAACACCCAGCGGCTTGGTTGGCCATTTCAACAATAACATCTTCTATCTCTCGTTAATACAAACACTGTTAAAACAAAGTCTGGTTAAAACAAACGTAAAGTCTTGGTCCCAACTGTGCTTTACGTGCACAATGAATGGGACTGATGGGATGGTCCGCTTAATACAAAATTCTGATATAAGAAACATCTTGGCTACGTACGGTTAACTGTATTATTGAGAGTGGACACGCGAACACCTTTATAACACGGTCCTTGGGACAAATTACCTCGTTATAACAGGTACCTTAATTGTATGAATAGTAATGGAAAATAAAAAATCCCGAAGACCCGGGACGTAAAATTGTGCAGGACGTTTTAACAGTGCTCTTCTTATCAGGGTTCGACTGTATAATCTAACTATAATTCAGAGATTCTATATTTGTCTGTGGGGGCTGTATGCGCGTTTGTTTATGATGTAAACCAATGAGAGCTGCTGCAAAGAAGTAAATGTATAAACAAAAAGTATAGACTTGGGGGGGGGGGGCAAGTCTGACCGGCCATATACCTTTGTTGCCTGCTGAGGAAATGTCTGTGTTATCTATATTTTAGTGGACTTTGTTAACTAAGTGAATTCACATTTGTGCACCTTTAATTTTTATTTTGGATTCTAGTTGCTCTGGTGCAATCTGAGGTGATTCCTGGCACGTTCCCCACTGAGTACATGTAGCATGAATACTACGAAATACGAAATAGATAAATTTGCATCGGGTTTAGTTAAAATTAAAATCTTACAATTTTAGTTTTATATAAATTGTAGTTGTTTTTACAGCAGGAGCCCCCCCCCCCCCCACTCCGGCTAGACAATCAAATCAGAAGACCAAGTCTCTCAGTCTTTTGAGAGTAGACTCTCCGTTGCTAGGCATGTTTATTTCATTTGCTGTCATACTGTAAGATCGTCCACAAGCTCATGATTCGTAACTCGTATGTGCTGCAGTCACCGAGTTGCTCCAGTCATTAGCTCGTTGCGCTATTCCTATCCTCATCCAGCCTCTAGGTGGCGCTCTATAGTTTCTCTTACCTCGGTGATGTGCAATTGTTGCTGAAATTATAAATATAAATAGTGTTAATCAAAATTGTTGAGAGGAGAGTATATAGAATATAAAATGGTTATTAAATGTCATCTGAAGTTTAGCCCAACAGACTGATGTGGTATTGACCTATTGCCGTTTGCGAGTTAGCCACGCCCCTTAGACAACCCTATGGAATGTTTGTACAATACGTTTTGTTTGTCTCAGATTTTGCACGTTCCTCGTCCATTTGTATATCATGTAATTGGACAATATTTCACAAGCTGTGTTGACGCGATTCTACCGCGATAGGTCAATTGTGTGGGTAAAGTGGCTTGCCCAAGGACACAGCCCATGGCTTACAGTTAGAATCAAGCAATGTTTCTTTTATTAGCTCACCGTTATCATTGTGTCCCTATGCCGCATCCTGACTACACCAGTCTTCAGAGTTTTATCACTAAGCAAGACAACAAAGGGGATACCCATCTCGTCAAATCTAAATGAAAAAAATAGTAATTAAAGTTTAAACAGAAATGATAGTCAAATATAATTTTATGATACAGAGTTTGTGAGTAATGTAGTAAGGTACTACAAATTTACTTCTTTGTTCTAGGTCTGAATTCTTCTCAAGGTAACATGTGGATTGGGTGTTTAGGTTTGGTGACCTTTGACTAAGGTATTCCATTGTCACTGTTTATCAGTTTTACATTTGCCTTCGTTAGAGTGATGCGGCTTGTGAGTAACTTGAATCTTGCTTTTGACTTCTGTGCAGGAAGTAATGGACATAATTCTGGTTCATAAGTTAAGTGCACAATCTATTTTTTTTCCGGTAAAACTCAAGCAAAAATATAAAACTTTAAGGAGGACAACTGATACAAACCTTGCTACATGTTGGCCAATGACTGGGCCGAGCTCATTGACACGATGGCAAGAAATACTCCGTTTGCGCAGCTCTTTAGCCAAATATTCACAAATCTGTCAATCGAGATGAAAAAAGTGGGTAAGTTTTTATAGTTCACTACAAATACTCCAAGCAGCCAAGATATCCGAATATTTTCTGAAAAAAAATATACTTGCAACGATGATTTCTTATTAGTTTTGCATTCTGATCATCCTTTTTTGACCAGAAGTGGTCAGCCCAAAAAACATGTTTTGTAGCCTCAAACTGCTAGCATTTTTAATCTGAAATTTGTAAGCAGCAAATGAAATCTTGAAGGCTGTCACATAACATTTGCTCTAGGGTGTAATCATGCAAAGAGTCCAAACCCTTTCATCACATAAAAATCTAAAGCCAGCTTCATACCTCAATTATTTCCTTTGTTCCCTTGATGGGTAGAACAGCTACTTTGATGGGTGCAAGTTTGACATGCAATCTCAACACCTGTACAATAAATATGGAAAGAACACAAAGTTTGGAGATACATGTATATATCCTCCCTTTGGATTTACACCCATACTTCAAATTCACTTTTCAGAAGTGAATATCTACTCATTCATGAGAAAACAAGTAAATGACAGAAAGAGGGTTGCTACCTGATGCTGCTTTTTTCTTTTTATATCATCTCAATGAAGGTCAGTCATTGCAAGAATGATGACAAGACATGAAACTGGGACTGAGAAACATTTGACTATGATGCGCCACTTACTGTTCTGTGGTTGATCTTCTGGCCCTTGCTGTCCATTCTCTCCTTTTCTTGATAAGCATCTAGGAGTAATGCCAGTATGCCCCTCTCTAGACCACATACCATCTCAACCACCTGGGGTAGAACGTTCTTCCTTCCCTCCCGACCCTGGCATATTGAATCACAAGAGAAGTGCGCTTGGTACAGGATGATTGTTCTGATTTAGAAGATATTAAAGTCTCAATTACGCAGCTTACGGCCTTATGAACTACCTACACAAGTATTCCCTTAATGGAGATGCATCTGAAGGACCGTTTGGGTGCCATGTTGTCTCCAACATGCATTCCACATTTTTGCCTTTCTCAATCTAAACACACCAGAGTATGAAACAAAAGCTGATAAGACTCAGGAAATAACATCGTTGTACAATACATTGCAACAGAAATGCCTAGTCTTTGTAAAGAAAATGAGAGCCAGTTGCTATGGCAACGAGCCAGTGGCCTCTGAGTGAGATCATGTCTACAAATTGGTCAGTGATTTTTGAGCCGATGTCGAGCCTATGTCAACTCACATGGAAGTCTACGCCTGTCTCCTTCTGCAGCCGTTCCAGTTCACCACTCCCTCTGTTGGATATTCTTTCAATCGTCTCTACTCCCCAGGGAAACTGGAACTGGATGTCTGTTGTGCGCAGGAGTTCAGACTGCTTGGTCTCTGACATCTGGAAGCTAGACGGAGCACCTGAAAACTGTGTGTGAGAAGCAGGCCACTTAAAGGAAGAACATTTAATGACAAAATATGCTCTTGGTCAGAAAATTAATTTATTGAATTAAATCACCAAAGGACTTGTTATAGAAAAGTATACAAAAAGGTGAAATGAAAGTGCTGGAATTCAATTTTGTGTTTAACATTATTCTTTTGTATCGTGCCAAATATATTCATCAATCAGTTTACAGATTGCCTCTCAACTGATAAAAATTTACATGAAGTAAGTACTGTTCATTTTTTTTTTCTCGTAAGTTTTGAATACATAAAAATGGTTCCTAACAACATCCTGAAGAAATACTTGATACAACTTTGGTAAACATTTTATCTAACATCCTGAGAAATTATTTTGGAATCTAATTTTTTTCTCTGAGAAAAGCAACTTGATGAATACCATTAATATTTAAAAGACTGTTATTTTCATTTTAATTAAAATTAAACACCTTACGTTTAAAACTTCCCACTTACAATTTTGAAGCGTTGATTCATACAATACACTTACAGACTCTGTGCACAGTATGCCCTCTATTTAGTACAAATATGTCATTGTTTGGAGAAAAAAAATAAAATCACATTCCCTGCTCATTTAAAAATGGCATTGCATGCTTTAGGTAGAATGCAGCTAGTTTGTCCAGCATGGCGTTCCAGAGCTCTACGTCTGGAAGAATTCGCTCCACGTACACGTCTCTGTCCGTGTAGACAACAAAATCACAGAATGGCGCACCGGTTACCATCAGCTGACCTTGGACCTGATAGTAATAATCGTGGTCCCGTTTCAGAGCGAGGGCGCTGTTGTCGCTCGTAGATTTCACCATGTAAAACTGTGGGATGGATGCGACAGCTTCACGAACCATCATGCCTCTGGCGCTGTAAGGACACTTGACTTCCAAGATACCAGTCTGGCCTCCATTGCAGACCTTCCCGTCCGGAGAGGCACCAAGAAAACTGAACGCTGGGTTGACTACAAATCCGCAATTGTGGAGGTGGAGATGTGGATTTCTCTCTGCAAACACCATCTTAGCTTCATCTTCATGGTTCTTCCCATACATGACAGCTGGACTGCTATCTGCTTTAGAGTTGAAACCAAACAAACTCATCAGAAAGGATTGGTTGACTGCCTTCTTCCTCTTCAGAATCTTGCCAAATAAGGAGCTCGTTAGTCTCTTCTCCCTGGTTTCAAACCAGTGTATGCAGCTTGCCTGACCCACCGTGGCTTGCTCTAAATCCACAGCCTCCTGCTCTGTCAGAGGGGTGACCGCGTTGCACTCGGCAAACTCTGGCTTGAGCGTGAGGCTAGCCTGGATAGGGAACCTTGTGTTCCCGCAGGTTGCCTTGCTTTGTGGTAGTTTGGAGCCTTTGGAATAGTTCCTCTGTGAAATGGAGAGACATAGTTTTAGACTTCTCACCAGGTTGCCTTTATCCGCTGCCCTCCTCAGCTCAGGAAACAGAATGCTGCTGAAAAGGCCAACAACTGCCTTGCAATAAATCGCTTTGAAGAAGATGGCAAGCTTTCTCTTTTTCACCATTGAGGGGGTACTGGTACACAGAGTCAATAATAATTGCTTTATGATTTATCATTAGGGAACAAACGTCAGATTAATTCAGAATTTAGGGTAGGAACTGGAGCGACAGTCAAGGGGGGGGGGGGGGTCTGGACAAAATTGGTTTTGGTTTACCTTTCTCCACCACTGAATCCTGTCTCGTTGCCAGTCAATCATCCAACGATCCGCAGTCTTAGGGGAGCAGTAGAACTGGGCTGTCATCTGAGTAAACTCAGGCAAGCTGCAAAAAAATAATGAAAACTTTGAAGCTAACATTATACCCGTGTAAAAGCTTCACTGTGAGAATAGTTTTGGTAATAATTTACCGACTTTTTGGCCAGGGTTTTGACCATGGTACCTGAGACGCAATTTTCAAACAAGTTTCACTGAAATGGCCAAATTAACTGTCAAAAACATCTGCAAAACTAAACATTTATTGAGCATTTTCATTTTAATCTGGCCAGTTGTTGTTTACAGAAATTGACACTATTTCAAGATCCAACAACTGCACTCAGAAACTCATTCTCTTGAATAGCCTTCACTCACTCAAAGATATATCTGTCGTGATCGTCATCTGTCAAGCTCTCTGATTGGCCAGTCCTTCTGAAGCATTGACCAATCTGGGCCAGGCCAAACGGCAGTCTGCGACTGACTAGCTGAAGTGTGTTGTAGTACTGGGAAATGGTACCTGAAAATTAACATTGATATTTTTTTTTAATTTGTTGAACTTCAACATATTGCAGAAGAAAATGTCACGAAAGAGTCTTAAACAGTTCATCCAAGTTTTTTCATGTTTACCTTGATTGAGGGAATCACGAAGTGTCCAGTTCAAATTCTCTTCCTGTGTTTGCATCTTATCACTACTTGGGATAACGGAAAGTCTACGATGATCGTTTATATCATCTGAAGAATTCTCCGATTGGTTAGTATTTCTTATAGACGTCTGCTGTACCTGTGAGCTTTCTATGCCAAACATATCTTCTTGAGATGAAACAACACTCGTCCACCTTAAAAAAGAACAGAAAATGTGACAGCACCATCCCAAGTCATCTAATCTCAAGTCACATGCTCACTAAACTGAACCATGACAATAGGCTGGCACGGACATCCGGGAATTTTTACGTTGGCTTGTCAAGCTCCCAGACCTAAATTCTTTAAAATCAGTGGTTCTTGAGTCAGGACTGCTGACTAGTAACAGCTAGCAATCGATGAAAACTGATGCGCAAATGAATGTACATTTTGTAGATGTTTTTCATCGGATGATGTCACTCCGCCCCAACCTATTGCATTCTTTTGTTATTTTTGTTATGTTCATCTTTTGTTCCTGCATATGTGATTAACTTGTGATTGACTTGTGATTGACTTGCATCTGACAAGTTTCCGAACAAGCATACCACTCATTCTGAATGTTGCGCCTCAACAAGGTGCCTAGGGGTCCGTAGTCATAGCAACCCTTGACCCCTGACCTCCCGAGGACACAAGATGGATGGATGTATCCATAGCGACTGCATAGTCCAATCAGCTTCTGCAGAAGGCCTGCCTCTTTGCACATTCTCTCAAGTCAGCAGACTACGTCTCTAGCGCTCTCAACTGCAAGTAAAAGAGGGTCAACTGCATTTTCACTGATCAAAGTTTTCATGTTGATGGATTATAATTGTTGACTTCTTGAAAGTTTTCTTTGATACAGAGGTAACACCCCAAGGAAAATGAGCTGCTCATCCCCACACACCATGTCATGGATACCACTGATCTGTATTATGATCTATGCGATCACGGGGTCATCTATTGGGGCATTTCAATTGAAAATACGTCCCATTATGCTTAGGATACAATCATGACGATGCAAGATGGGGCGTATTTTCATTGAAATGCCCTTCCAAACACATGTTCATGAAGATATTGCGGTACCCGTGGAAACATTTCAGGGATACCGCCATATCTTTGTGGTCTATAGCAATGAACTATGACCCCTCAATTGTGATTAAAATTTGATCTTTTTTGTGTGCAAATTCATACTGTTCTATTGAAATTCAAATATCAGAATTTTTGAAATCATGATTGCCGTCTGCCATATATTTACGGTTTACGTTTTTGGTTATATCACCAATACATCACTCGCCCAAATAAGAAAAAAGAAATCATGCAACCTTACGGCCTTATGAAAAATGAAGTTATGCTTATGCACGAGACTTCTGTGTTGGCGCGCCGCCTATCGATCCTCGCCCTGTATAAGTAGCCGACTCTGGAGGGCGCTAGATAAGTTTCGCTGTTGATTTTGTCGATGTCAACAGACATGACAGAAGTGAACATTGGTCCTGAGTTCAGTGCATTGAGGGTTTTAGCATTTTTTTCAAATGTTTTACTGATTGTGTACTTCTGTGGACCGGTATCGAATGTCGAGAAAGGTGGGGTCATTTAGCATGTTGTTGTTTGTTGTTAGTTGCTTTTTCAGTTTGGTCAGTTGGTTTCATCATGCCATTCATGGAGCTATAAAACACATTTATAGCTCCATGGTTCATCATCTTCATCATCATGTTGGGCGCGATCGGTCGATCTGCGCGATCGGTCGATCGCGCTGCGCTATTAGTATTGGTCGATCATTATGCGATCGGTCGATCCCACTGCCACCAGTCGAACACATTTTCTTTCTAATTCACGGCTCTGGAGGAGTTTTTTTAATAAAAGGTCCAAAGTAAAGTCCAGGATATCCTACAGAATTGACCCATCATGCAATGCGATCAACCGAGAGCACAGGTCGACCGATCGCGCCCAACAACTACATAAATCCGAAAATTTGGGACTAGTATGTATGACATATTCAATTAAATTAATTCATTATCGTTCAATTCATATTCCAAAAAAGTTCATCCCCTGTTTGAGCTGAATGAGGAACTCTGTCTTTTCTTTTTCACCCACAGATTTGATTCATAATTAAATGCAACACTTTCAAGGCATCAGATGGAGCGGGCAGCCTCTAGCCTGGCCAAAACATCTCTGTGGTTGTGCTCATGTTTTGGATGCACAAACACCAATAAACCAGGCAAACAAGAAGTTGAAAATCTGGCTCCAATCAACCAATACATCCACAGATTCCACACAAGAGAAAGCTGTGGATATGTCACAATCAGCAAAAGCAAGATGGGGGAGCAGAATAAAGCCCACTTCAGCAGAAAATCTCTCTGTGCAACAAACTAGATCTCTCTCCACTAAAGTGTCTACATGTGCAATACCAACATCAATTAAATTAGTGGATGTAACTTTACAGGGTATAGGCAATGAGAATGTGCAATCTAACTTGATGTTATCAACCACCAAGTTGAAAGCATATCAACAAATACCTTCAAAAGGTCAAAAGAGAAATGTATCAACAGGTTCTATTAAGCAGATTAGTCAACCACCAAACAGTAGTTCAGGTGTTGTGGATCAGCAACTTACAGATCAGCCACTGGATAGTGACACAATAAACTCCACTAACACATCAACTGAGACTCCACAAAATCAACACAATGCTACTTCCACTGGGGACAAATCAAGGTCACCCACTCCCCAACCGCCAGACCCAGAAACCTGCTGCGAGAGCGGTTGCGCCAACTGTGTGTGGATAAGATACGTCCAAGAAATGCAGGAACACACGCCACTTGACAAGGAACAAGCAAAGAAAGTACTGGATCTTATTGAGGATCACAATGTTAAGATGTTTGTGAAAATGGAGTTGGGGTTGTAGGATCGCGTGATGCGTATCAGAGTATTATTATCATCACAGTATGTTGCAGCCTACTTGATGTGGAAAAAGGTTTTGCACTACTGTGAGGGAAAAAAAAAAAGTTAGAAACTCCTCCTCTGTAGTTTTAACTTGCCATCCATAGATTATTTGTCACTAAACCCAACATCAAAAAATCTGGTTTTTTAAACTTAAGTTGAAGACCTTACGTCTGTTAGGTCTTCAACTACAGTTTGGACAATTTTTGAGATAATATTTTGGCTGAACACCAGTCTTTGCTTTAGTGCGAACTGTTTTCTGTTCACGGGAAATTTAATAGTAGATCCATGGTATTGGCTTCTGGTGCATTGTCATGGTTACAACTTTACAGTGGAAAATGTTAACAATCTGCATAATATGCATTGAACATAAACATAACTGCATGTAGCCTAATTCTCTTCCCAACTTTTAGCATCTCACTTTGCAGTGTTTTGATGGATTTAGTACTGTAAATATACAGTCTAGCATGCCTCGTGTCTGTTTATACAACGAAGAAAGTGTCCCGTGATTACTGAATATTTAGGAGGTTCTGAATTGTATTGGAATTAGGAATAAGTGCTTAAACACAAGGGTACTTTTACGAATAAATTGAGGTTGTTAAATAAATTGAGGTTGTTAAATTGTTTATATTTAATGAGGTAGAACCGTGTAAATATTAAAAGAGCCTTAAAATACCAAGTTTCCCAGCATTTGAAAGTTAATTATAAGTATAACTTGTTTTTGCCATAATCACCATAAAATGGTAATGTACAGTGCAGTTGTTGGTCCCAACTTAATGGAACAGTCTCAACCAGGCGGGAATTGATGTCTAGGCCCCCCCCCCCCCAAAAAAAATATTGCATAAAAACACGGTACATGTAGTAGCAATTGCGAATGGTCTCCCCCCCCCCAAAAAAATAGTAATGAGAAGGGGGCATTTGTAAACTATAAATTAATATAGTGTGCATGGTTGTAGGATATTATCAGCGCTCCATATTGAAAATCCTCCCCCCCCCCCATTGATTTTCGGAGACCTAAGTGTCCGGGAGAAAAAAAATCTACATTTCAGTACGCCTCCCTGCAAAAATGTCTGGATCCATCTATGTTAGCCTCCCTAAAATATAGGCTCTAGAACCGCACCTGGTCTCAAGTTATAAGTTGGGACTGGTGGAATGTAACATGTTTCAAAATAGTAACATGGTTTACAAATTCAATCAAAATGCTATTTCAGTATTTTCACACATATAAAAATTTCTACCGATTTTGCAAAGTGGTATACCTCCATACAAAGACACTACTCTACGCCTAACGCCAGTGACATTGATACCCGTTTTGCTGTTGTACATTAAGCAACTCATCTTGATTATTAAAAATAACGAAAAATTGTAATATTGAAAAGTCTGCTAAGTACATGTATTTCATTATTTCCTGAGGAAAAAGTATCTAGTGAGCGTGATTGTACACCTACGGCAAGTATCGACGCACTTGTGATCTTATTCACGGCATTCAACACTGTCCATTAATTGGAATTATCATCCACGCTTGGCAATTATTCAATGGATATATTTACTGACGTACGAACAAAGGCATAAAATGATCTTAATCTGTCGGTTAGGTTATTTTGACTCTCACAACAAAACAAAAAGGTCCTAACGTCCAAACTGCCCACAACATTTACAGGGTGATTAAAAAAACAAAAAACCCAAATGTTGGGACTGTTGTTTAAGTGAAGTTCTGCATGTAGCACTTTCAAAACCTTGGATATGAAAGCCCAATTCATAAGCGTTCTTTGTGTACAAGAACCATTCAAATCACTCTAGTACTTTTCAAGTAACGGAATTTTAAATACAACCGCCGTTTTAAAGTTCTGTCCTCGGATGACAGAAAAAGGTGTGCGTTCTCTCATCAAAAACGAAAACAATTGTGGGAGCCAAAGGGCCCGATATGTTCGTAATACATGTATTAGCCAAATATTCGTTATAGCTGTGTTCGTTATAGCGACATTTCACTGTACCTTATTTTGTAATATCTTTTACAAACCAAAACCTATGCCCTACATGTAGCTAGTCAGTACTAGCTATGTTTTAAAACAGAACGCTTAAATTTTCGCTGAAGAGCCTATGTCTAATAACACACCGTTTAAGTACATGTATTTTCAAGTTTAAATTATACAACTTTCAAATAGGCCTACTCTAGTCAATGGAAACGGAAAAAAAAGAACTTATTATGGATTAAGTGTTATGATCAAAAGAAAAAATCCGATGCATTTAAGTTGTTGCACTTGACAAAGTTATTGATTTCATTTACTGCGATTTAATCGATTTTATTTTGATTCATGTGTCGATTTGATTTTTTTTTTGTTCCACACAGAACGCCGCCTAGTGGTAACCTGGGAGAGATCTTTTTCGTGGTATCACACAAATATAAATGTTTCAGAATCTTTGTAAATAACACACACCGTTTTACACAAGAAATTAATTCGAACTTCAAAAACTATCCCTTCTTGCCGTCTCTTGATGGCGCAATTTCCAGTGTGGACAAGCAAGTTCGGGCGAGGACTATATCTATAGCTTAAATTCCCCGAAACATCAATCAACATTCTATATGTCGGTCACATCTTACTGTATCTTGAAGAAAGCCATATAAAACCCAAAACCAGTGGCCGAACTGAAGTTTCCGTTCTTGAGTTTGATACGCGTAGAATGAACGAGTGGAAAAGAGAAATTGTTCACGTTCCCGCATACTACGCGCATCGGGCGCCAATTTCCCTGTTATTTCTGGAAAATCACAGGTCCTGTGCGAATTACAATTCGCGGATAGCCCCCTTATGCAAGTACTACTAAACAGGCGCATTTTCAGCTCAGAAAAAGCCGCGGATGGTGAAAATAGAAAGTCTTGATCGTTTCTCTGATCTGACAGCGGGGTGCTATATACGGTAAAATAGGGCACGGAAACTTACGTGAACTTCAGTTCGGCCACAGATTTTGGGCTTTGTATTTATAAGATTCTTTATTCTTCGAAATACAATAAGACGGGAATGTTGATGTTTCGGAGAATTTGAGCTGTCCATCGATCTGTTGTAACTTTGCAAGAGCCACACACCACACACACTATTTCTGCCGCCATGTTTGTTTGTGTTGTATGCCTCGCTTTAATTATCAAGATGGCGTACCCTGATCAAGCTCTATTGACTAGAGGCGTTCGCAAGTTGTTACTGGTTGTCATTCTAAAGCGAGGTTATCCTGCCCATTGTTGGTTGCTGGTTGCGCGATCGGATGAACGGGGAATGCTGTAAGATAAAAGAATACAGAAATGAAAAGATAGACGCATATACAGTTATAGTGATACTTGGGCTAAGTAGGTATGTAGCCTACATTAAAGAGTAATTTTTCATGTTGCCTTAACCCTTAGAATTTTCCGCTGAGCAATAGGCCTATCTGGTTTCCATCATGTAGCCTACCACACACAAAAAGATATATGCTTCGTTAAAATAGCCTATGGTTCAGGAGCGGATGACCAGCTCCCTATTCAGAATATGACACTTCTTTGATGCGTAAATTCATCGTGGGCTGAGATGTGTGTGTATGTGCAAGGGTTCACTGAGGAACTTTCATCTAGTAATAGTATTCATGCTAATCGAAATTATAGCGATTCGCTTTGAGCATTTATTTTCTGGGTGACATATACCATCTTCAACACATTATGTGCGAAGCAATAAATTCTATTAGCAGCTCCACTCAGTTGCCCACTCACTTACCGTTGGGGTCTTGAGTGTCTCTAGCCTTAACTCCTCGTTTAGTGAACAGTAAGTAGGCCATTACTATCAGACACATGACAGCAACACCAGCGACAACGCTGACACCTATCACGGCTGCTCGCATCATGTTCCGCTCATTCTTCAAGTCTTCGTACCCGTACGGCTCCCGGATGCCTGTGGTCACTGCGTCCGGCTCTCGGGTGCCTGTGGTCACTGCGTCCGGCTCTCGGGTGCCTGTGGTCACTGCGCCCGGCTCCCGGGTGCCTGTTTTAATAAACGTTATTAATTGCATTAGTCTGAAATTCTTAAACAATAATTACTTCTTGAATATTGAAGAGCTATACTTTCAACTTGTCTTGGTCCATCAAAATCACAACCGGCCTAATCAAGTTCATTGCAGTGCATAGTACAACTCGTGTAGTCCCCACAACTACGGAACATGTCACAATGTGTTCGTTTGTTCCCCTATACGTACCTGTAGTATACTCGGCCAAGAATCCATTCTTGCCAACATTGTTGGTGTTCAACTTGACGCTGGTTCGTGGAGAATCTACCACCACTGTGAAGGAATCCCAGCCTTGGTACAGAGCCAAGCACATAGCGTCCTCATCGCCCACCGTCAGATAATTAGAGCAAGGGAGGAGTGGGTGGAGCGTTTCGTCCGTGTGGATGCCAGTGAAGCGGAATGTGATGGAGTTGACTTGATCTCTCGGCTCGATGTTCCAGACAAACTCGTAGACACCGGACATATCGGTAGGGTCAGGGAGCTGTACGGGGTATCCGATGAAGCCATGATGACTGCTGATGTGCATGACTGGCTCAGGATCTACTTTAAAAAAAAATACAATGGTGTTACCTCCAATACTAATACTGACACTGTGTACAGTACATCTTCAACGGCATAGAATATAAAGTAGTATAATACTCCGCACAGAATCACCATACATGAGGAACATTCCATACCAAGCGAGTGCAATCATTATTTGTCGGTCTGGTAACTAATTTTAGTAAGGGGGTGAACATGCTAACTACAAAATGGAGCCAGCCATTTTTCAAACTTACCCTTCAACTTTCCAAGCTCGTAATGATCAGCAGCATAACCGGGAAACCAACTCGAATGGAACTCCTCCACCAGTTTGAATCCTGAGCCAGCCATATCACATTCGTAGCCTCCCAGATCCCTACGCCTAACATCAAATGCCACACAAATACCGGAAGCAAGGCAAAGGGCTGCGCAGTCGTTCTCATTCAGGACAAATTCTTTTTGACTGACGTCCTCGTTTGGAATCTTGAAATAAACCGAGCCCGGTTTTAACGTGTCGATTCGATCGAAGATGCTGATTGGGAAATCTGTTTAACCAAGACGGGGAAACAGTTGGATGAAGCTCAACATTTCAATTATTTGAGGCATTAAGCTGATGACAAAATGTACTAAGTTTTTTTAAGGGAAACCATCAATAATGGTCTCACATTAAAAACGTACGTGATCGTAGCATGGAAAACTCATCACGTGTTTTCATTTAAGCTAAGTAACAAAAGTTGTGACTTTCCTCAACAATGAAAAAGCGCCAATACACAAAACAAGACCACGTCATCCGCAAGAAATTCGCAATCAAAAAGGTCTGCTTTGGATCAACCCATGACTGTGCAAAGACATATAGCTCATATACATACCACAACGGGAATACGGCGCTTCGTCGCTGTTAGACAAGCAATCTTTGACTCCATCGCACTTTGCATCATATGGTATACAGCCTCCACAGTAACACCTGTACAGACCACGATCGGTGCAGTTACTGTCCTCTGCGAGAATAAGGGTCAAATGTCCATGAAGTTAATTTTACATCCGATCATTCATAAGAAATTTCTCCTCTGACCATTTACAATAATCAGATTGCCTTTTCGTGTTTTTTTTTTTATACTTATGCACACGTTTACTCGCTCTTTAAGTTGTCAATACTACTCCTAAATGAAATACGGAACATGCACAATTGACGACTTAAACGAGCAAGTGGTTAGTTTGTTAACAAACGAGTTTAAGACGTTTCTTACGACGATCTGGGTCCTCCCCATCAAAGATCGGAGCGATCCAATCTTGGAATGCTGTCAGTCGAACGTAAACTCCGGGATACCCAGCTACACCGCAGCCATAGCCGAAACTGACCACGCCGACCTGAAACCACTTGCCGTCGTACTGAGTGACCAACGGTCCTCCACTATCACCCTACAAAATATAGCAGTGTTCTTCAACAATAATTGAACATCTTTACAAATGTCAAGCCAAGTGACCGTCAGTCAGTGAGATAGATACAAAGACACTTGGCTGTGCACTGTGCACGCAATTTCTTTTCAATTGATTCAGAACTTGCTCTTAACAGCATTTGCATTTGTCTGCACATTGGTCTGATGTTGCCCAGTCATTTGCGTTTTTGGGGTAGTCCTATAAGATAGCACTGCCGGGTAGGCCTACTCTTCACCAGTCTACGACCTGTCTACGTCACACGTGACAATCAGTCTGTCAGTCACTCAGTCAGTAAGGTAGATATAATAGAACACTATAGGCCGGTCCTTTGGGATTAGCCAAAAAAATGAAGACGACATATAAACACTGCCATCAGGGCAAACGAGTCTTGATGAGGGATTGCACAGTATCCACCCATTTGAGTACATGGTTATTGCTCAAACAGCATCCACGCCAGAGTCTAAGCAAGGACTGTCTCACTCTCGATCAAAAATGGCGGTTCCTGCTACAAAGTAAATATTACATAATTTTACTTGATGATCAACCCACCCCGCAGGAATCTTTGCCCCCGTTGGTTTCCCCAGCGCACAGCATGTTCTCAGTGATGATCACATCCTCGCTCTCGTACGTGGATTTGCAGTCGTCCTGATCGACTATGGGAAGCGAAACCTCCAGCAGATCCTCGCTACTACGAGAGGCTGAATTATGGGCGAAAGAGAAGAACTAGAAATCCAAGAAGAATGTGTTTTGAGGGAAAGGAAACCAATACGGAATTTATTTTAATGATAGCAGTTTCTCATGGTGGGATGGATGTGGTCTTAAGTTCCAGATAATAAGTTATTGAAATGCTTACTATTTTGATTAGTCGCTGCATGCGTCAAATTTTAGACTTGGAGCGTTCCACTCCTAAATCCTTCTGTATGACATTCTTCGCGCATTGCAGACAATGAAAACAATATTTTGGTTGAAGCCAAAATCACGTGGACAAATTGAAGAAAACAGTCGGTCTCTTGACCTGCATGACGTTTGATTTAAGGATTGGCATGGGATCAAACTAGATTGAAATCACATTGATAATTTCTCCTTTTCGGGAATGTGTTTTGGAATGGGTGGGTGAGTTTGTTTCTGCATTCCATAGGGGACGTTGAACAATAGAGGACAATTATAGGGCCCCCAGTTCCCGAAGGTCCTCAATTTGGCGATGTGTACAAAACATATAATAGGAGGTCCTCCTAAAAAGTTATTGGGTACAAACAAAAGAGGGACAACAGGGGTCCCCGATTGCAGGCAAATACACACTTGGGTGTGTTGGGGAGGGACAGGGGGTGGTGTTGGTGGGGGGGGGGGGGGCACTTACAATTTTCGGTACTTCCCCAGCCTGTCACAGTAACCTGCGTGCCAACAGGGAACTTATCCGCCATATCAGTGGTCGGTAAGCACACAGTCTGCACGTAGTCTGTCAAATTGAACGGCTCTTCCAGCTTGAAGAGAGCTATGTCCGAATCATGGTCAGTATCACAGATGACGTAGTCGGGATGCATGAAGATTTCTTTGGCTGTTCTGACCTGTGTGTTTGCTGGGTCGGTACTGTACGAATTGGTTCCCATCTTGAAGTTGAAGAGATCTGGTTTATTTGGAATCGTAATCCTGGGAGAGATAGAAAAAATAGCTCAAGTAATTAAAAAAAAATAGTTAACAATTTCAAATCCGCAAACCGCACTAATTACTAACTTACACACAGTGTGCAGCCGACATGACCCACTGCGGGTCAATCAGTGTCGCTCCGCATACACCGACCCCATCGCGTATCATCAACGCCTGCCAGGGCCACTCGCCAACTTGAGCTGGCTTACCGCCTACTATCAACAAATCACTGCTAACGAACACTTTCTGCTGGCCACACGTGGAATGATCTGAAAGCACAAAAAGAAAAATATTAAGGCAGGATTCTTAAAAAAAATTATCAATAAAGATAATTTTAAATGCATGTTTTTCCCTTAGGTTTTATGAAATGAATGATTTATAAGACTAACTCAGTCAGGGAAGCAAATTCATAAAGGACACGCATCCTCACATTTTATTTTTATTATTGGAAAAATATATGTGGTATTGTTGAGTTCGAAAATTGCTGCAATAGACCTTTATCATGCTGCCACCATTTCAGTCATGTTCCCTGTATCCAATAACAGTACTGAATGATAATGTGTTTTGTGCAAAAAGGAACCAGACTATTTTTCCTTCCAGCCTCGCTTAGGCTACATTGATTTGAATGGGGGAAAAAATCAAGATGGCGGCAACATGATAATGGTCTATAGCTCATTTTGTCTATAGGGTCAGAGAAGGGCCACGGTATTTTTGACCTTATGACCTCTGAAGCAGGATAAACTTAATTATTAACATGCGCAGAAATGCCACTCCTTCATGTATACGTGAACTACATGGAACTTAGAAACATCAGGGCACATGGCAAGCAATGCAAATTATCACAATATTGAGGTGTACAGTCTATTTTGCAACTTAGCATTTTGAAAGAGTCGCACATCACGTGACTGGATTTCGCAATGTCTTACGACTGTTTACTGAGTTTATTGGCCTTACTTTGGTAAGAGTGGCTGGTTCCCACCAATGCCAGCAACGTGAAAAGCAGCGAAATCAGGGAGATCTCCATAGTATTTCCTTTCCGGGTTAACAGTTCATTCATGTTGACTAATCTTCCTAGCTAGATTGGACAAAAACAATTTGATTATAATAGTACAAGTGTGAATAACGCAACTTGCTCAAAAACAAGACAAGTGACATGGGATACTGTTCTACCGGATAACTTTTTTCTCTTTCAATGGTGATATGCGAAACCAAGCCAATGTTCTAATCTAATGTTTAGGCTATTATGTTTCACTTTTAAGTCATGGTAGTCATAAGCTATGACGTCGTATCTTCTGTCATGAAGCAAAACGGATTATATGTTTGCAAAACCAATTATATTTCGGCAGACCTCTTACATGAGGGGATCCAAAATTAATAATATATAAAATCGACTTGTTTCAAAATGACCTTTTTTTCAATAGAGAAATTACCTTATTTATTTTGTAGTTAATCATTATCATTATCTATTGTGTAGTGTTGAGCCGATTAAGGCCGCTATTCTGCATTGACTGCCGCGGGACAGATGCCCCTGCCAAAGAGGCAGGAAAGCCCGTTTGTGGGTGCCATCTTGTTCTACACGGGTTTCCTTGCTGAGTTCAGTCACGTTTTGATGTGAAAAGAAGGTGTTTTTGTACCCAGTAAGTCGAGGAATAAAACCAGTGTTTTCATGAGACACCAGGGCTTGTGTGACACTGTGGTTCTCATTGTGTCCCGACACTGACCCCCAATCGACACTTACGCTACAATATTACAAGCTTGACCGTTGTATTCACAGCTTCGTTTTTTTTTGTTTAACAATGGGCTAGGCCTATAGGCTACAAAACAGTGTGTTTCTTTTTTATTAGTTACAGTTAACCTCACACTGTAAACTCATTCTTAAAGACAAATTTAGGAAAGTAAACAATTTGTCATCTCGGCCTAAAAAAGTCAGTGAAGGAATTACATGTAACTCATCTGGATAAATCGCAATTTACTCGATGATGCATTCCGCTTAAGACAAAACGGAACGATATCGGTTCGGTATTTTATATATAGGCCCCAAGCATGCACAAAACAGCCTTGATTATGACGATAAAGGCTTTAGTATAGGCCTACACTGACAAAATCATTTCTTGAAGCTAATTAGGGGCCTATAGTATTATACGTACGTGATGATATTTTCAACGTGAGAACCGATACGTACCTTATCAACACAGTTTCACGGATGTAGAGATTCTCTCTCCTCTATAGTCCTGCTTTATATGACAACGACTGCAATAAACAAGGTGACCCCGAGCTATACACCCAGCAAAAAAATGACCATTGTGTGGACTTCGGACATATATGCAGGGGTCAAAGGCATTATCTGTTTCAAAGGAAAGCCTTTTTTTCAGGGGCTATTTTTACTTCTAAACACAAAATGAAGTACCATCTAGTACCTTCTACAACCGCCTGCCGTACATTTCAAGTTTCAATATTTGCCTGTAAATAATTTATTGCTCCACGCTTTAATTAAAACCAGATTTCACTTATAATCACAAAGCACTTTTGTTTACCAAACCTTCACTCGAAGGGCTTTAATGAAAGAAAAAGGTAGATTTCTTATTCCGTCTTTCTTTTTAAATTTGTTAGATTATCGTAATGAAATGTTATCACTTAGTGTTCTCGTTGTTGTGATTTCCCAATTTTAACGTATTTTAATATAATGACGTATATAGTTCTTTTAGTGTATAACGACTTTTAAAGTAATAATTGTAAATTAAACCACAGTTCAGCCTTTTGGCACAATAATGAAATCAAATAAACCATAGTTAGTTCATTAAAAATCCATCACTGTATCGACTGAATGGAGGGTCGCTTGCATCAAAGACGAAGAGCATATTTAGCAAACACGGCATAGTGTATCAAAATAATATTCAGTGATATCAATTGCTTGTTTCTACAATTCAAATTACTGTAACAGAAAGGCAAATATTTCACTGAGCCTACCTGATATTTCAAATCAATTTCCTCATGTCTGTTTTCCATTCACAATTAGGCTTCCGGAAATGTTCTTAAAGCTCTATTTTACAGAATTTTGGAATATATCGAAACCGAGTAATCAAAAAGGAAATTCAGAAATCTTCCCTCACATGTTACCAAACATTACACCTTATAGTATATAAATAAAGACGTTATAGTACTGCAATACTATGACTCCTTTTTAAAACTCTTTACGAAGATTCGAGGCTAAAGCATAATCTTTAAGAAGTCCATTTTTACCATTAATTTGACCGCATACAAAAGTTTAACTGCGTTGCATTATTATTTTTTATTTTTTGAGTTTGAACTTTGTTTCACCCCTGTTGGCTTGTTGCAAAGGCAAGGATTACGAAACGCGTCACCAACTCAATGATTAACTCGTGCAGACATTTCTCTTCAAGCCTCGCGTCTCCGCCCATAGTTAATGATTACACGCCGACCAAATTAAATTCAACCATGATAACGAGTCTCGACTTTGAACTCCAAAAGTGGAACCAAAAGGAATATCGAGAAAACAAAAATGAAACAATTCAAAATGAAAGAATGCTTTGGTACTTTGAAAAATTTCCACATTTTGACTCATCGGATTCAATAGGCAGATAGGCCTACGTTAAAAAAGTGCATTGGTGTAGAAATGACAATACATGTATCTCCAATTGCATTTTAAAAACAATTTATTAGCATAAATAAGAACTATACATGCAAATGAAGACATCTTTTTAAAAACACATATTCCTCTTTTAATTTGCTTCAATCTGATGACAGCTTTAGAGTTGCCTTGAAGTTATATTTTGTCGAAGTAATTGACTAGTCTGAGGACCAGACATTCACGTGGGCAAAGCCACGGGTGAACGTCTGATATATCGTAGCATATACATTTTATGCGACACCGCGCGCCAGCAAATCGGAGTGGTCTTCCGCGGCCATGACGTCATTTCCATCAGAAATATGGACTAAGCTGTTGATTGGTCAATTTGTATATGCAATGTTTTTGTAATTCAACAGCGGGTTACTAAATGGTCAGAATCTGGAGGTCAAGACGCAGTCTTGTCTTTCATAATTAATCACCGAATCTGCTCGCCTATCATAGACCCTTGCTGTGCAAGGGGCTATTCCACAGACTAGTGTACGGCGGGATACCAGAAGTTCAAGCGAACCAGGTGAACTTAAATTCAACTTTTCCAGATCCTGAGTTAAAAAAGAAAAAAATTCCTTCACAAGGGGTGTGGCTATATTTTAATAAGGGGAAGGTGCAAAGTACATGGCGAGCCTTACCACACTTAAAATAGCTTTCCACAAAAAAAAAAACCAGAGTCACAAGTTCAATGATAACATTCAATAATAAATAATCTAAACTGGGTTAATTAATTACCCATTTAAAGGTAACTATCATCTTGTCCATGCAGAAAGGTTTGGTCGAAAGAGAGTTTTGCGAGTGGAGCTTGGTTTGGGGTTCAACGAGTAAAGAGGAAACCCTGACGTTACACTCTGACGACTTTGCCTCTGAAGATCCTGTTAAGATCGCAACCTCAGGCCGACTTAATTTGCTTTGATTTGATAATAATCAGGTCAATCCAGTCAGAGAGCATTCTGCAGCAGTTTTATTCATGTTTATGACGTTAGAATAGAACATATTTGACAGAACCAAGCCCTTTTATCATTAATCATTTGCAGCCTTGGAGTCCGATACTCCAACGTGGTTGATGGGTATTCGTGCATATACTTACAGCAGTCACATCCCGTCCCACGCCGGGGCTTGTGTCATGCGTTTTTTATAATAGTGGCTATGCAGCCTGTCGAAATCGAATCGCTGCAGCTAGCTTGAATAAGAAAAACCGATCAAGTCTTTTGCCGCATAAGGTAGGCTTCAACGTGTCCTTATCAACGATTTGATAACTGGATCAACGTGCCTTTCTCTGCCAGTCAGTTATATATTTTTTAAGACAAATTGCAAAACGAACCATTATTAAAGTCATTGAATATATAACCTTTAAACTATTTACAGGATCATGAATAACCGAAACTGAATTTCTCTGTTGTAATTTTTTATTCAAGACACAATATGACACCAATCGACTAAACAATCGACCAACGGACTTAATCGACAACCCTGACCAACAAACAGTCGATTTCTACCGAGCAATGTTGTTTAAACAGTAACTCGTAATTATTGCGTTGACGGGATAAATACATGCATGGCCACTGCAAAGAAATTACAATGTCATTTTGTGAAGTATTATGGCCATTCACGAATTTCGAGTATTAGAAAAGTTTGGCTTAGTACTGCGAACATTGTGGATGACTCACGTTGTGGATTTTTACTAGTAATTTTCAGGCGTCAGTATAGCTTTAATTTGTGATGTCAAACGTGTTCCAAAGTTCACGCTCACGCAGTATTTAAATGTGGATTGGAGATCACAGTGGCAGTTCAGACAAGAAAGTGGCGTGCATGTTGGCATGCGATCATCCTGCAACTGCACAATTTGCTGAAACATTTCTGGAAGGTTAGAGTTGCATTCGAGATTTATTCAGACTGAATATCGAATTGCTCACTGCCAGTTTTTCCTAGTACATTTTTGGGAATACTGATATGCAATGTGAGCCTAGAAGTATAACGGCTATTTCCAGATACGGCCAAGATGATGTGAACGTTTCGATGCAATGACGGCTTTTCGATGACGGTCAGAACATATTGGCCAAAACTTCCTAATCAAAATTAAAAACCACTCCTTTGCTTCTTCTCAGAACCATACATCGACACCTTACTTCAGAATCCGCGAATTTATAATTTCAAGCTTTGGTATAATTTTGTCGGCATTGAATTAGATTTTGTCTTAATTTGTTGGCAGAGACGGTGATTTCAATAGCATGGGTTTGCCAGGTGTTGTCGCTACAGCCTTGGGTCTTGTGCTGGTCGTGACCCAGATACGGACCAGCCAGTCTTTTCAAGGTAGGTACTCGTGAACCAAAAGAAATCTAAGACTCGCTATAAAAATATACTTCATTATCAAATGAATGTTATTTAAATGTGAAACTGACTAACCCAAAAAACCCAAAAAACTAGTACTTGACACGGACTCTTTTGTTTAGCTTTACCCATATAGGCATGATATATTGATTGGAAGTTGTGTATAGTTGAATCATAGGGAAAGGACGTGTCTTTATGGTTGAATGTTTAAATTCGTCGTGAAATGTCTGTACTCAAACTTATATAAAACGTTAGGAAGGGGCTCTGGTGGACAACAGGTGATACACAGACTAGTGCATGCATGGTGATTATGTACCAATTTTAGACATGCTAAGCACACAATACATGTACAATACATAATCATTAGCATTTATAATCCTTGTCGTTTCGGGGGATGCACAATTCGCCATTAATGGAGGGCTCCATGAGCGCATGCAAAGTGATCATCTTTTATGTACCAATGTTAGAAATTCTAACCACACGATACCTAGCAGAACAAAAATCATTATCATACATTGTGTGTATTTTCAATGCTATTATCCTTGTTTACAGAGAAAAGCGATTGTGCAAGTGATGGTCGCTACATGTGTCGAAATGGTAGCTGTATTCCTTACAGTTTGAAATGCAATGGTGCTGCCGATTGCTTCGGGCAGAGCGATGAGTTGTATTGTGGTGAGTTATAGTACTTGGGAGCACCATATCTATATCTCTCTTTTAAAGATACACAAGAATTGGAAGAATCGAAATGCGTTTGGCTTAATTTAAACGCCATTGGATTAATTTCGCGTTTGGCAGAACTGAAACGCACTTGGCAGAACTGAAGTGCGATTGGCAGAATTTGAATGCCAAGGTTGTTAAACAATATCTGCAATACTTAAAATTTGTATCTTTGTTACCGTTGATAACTCAAATCCACCATAAGGTCTTCATAATGAGAGAGACACATTTTTAGCGTCTGAGTGAGGCATTTCACTTCTTTGTTTATTCAATTAAATTTCATTGGTTTTTGTTCACACAGATAAATATATCATTGAATACAATCCGTTCTTCGACGTGCGTCTCAACGACTCTTCCGTTATGCAGCAAAGTACGGTAGATACACCTGAGACTTGTGCACGGCTGTGTCGGGAATGGACTCCCGATCCGAACGACCAATGCGTTGCCTTTGATATCTCCGTTTACAATTCTTATTACCTGTGCAAGCGCGCCAGAAAGGGATACGAATTGGTGCCTAATGAAGAAGAAGGATACGTCCACTTCGCACCAGATCATAACTTCCCAACAGGTACTAGTATAGATGACACTTATTTCGTCACTTTTTCACGAACTCATACTTGATTGGCTAGTGCTCGGGCCGCGGGGTCGCATAAACTTTGCAATTGCTCACATAATATATAAAACGTAATGTGCATGATTGGTGATTATCTTTTATTGTACCAATTAATGTTAGACATGCTAACACACAATACATAATCATTAGCATTTGATGTTATAATCCTTGTCGTTTTGGGGGATGATTTTGTATTTTTTTCTTGCTTCCAGAGGATAACGATTGTGAAAGTGATGGTCGCTACACGTGTCGACGTGGTGCCTGTGTTCCTCATAGTTCCAAATGCAACGGTGCTCACGATTGCTACGGGAGGAGCGACGAGTTGTATTGTGGTGAGTTTGCAGACTCTTGTTATAAGTACTTGTTAGCACCATAGCCTATTTGAGATTGTGGACACGATGGGAGGGCGCTATATGGTTTGGGTAAATACAAAAACTGTACCTAAACCAAACAACGCAGTCCTAATGTGTCTGCTATATCTCAAATAGGCAAATATCTCCCTCTTGGGAATAAAGTTAACAACACGTTTGGAAGAGCTTGAATGGCATTACAAATATCTGTCATGCCGCTTTGTCACCGTTGAGGGCGTACTTGTGCACTGTCCATGACAACGTCTCCATCACGAGAGGGGCACATTTTAGCGTATGAGCTAAGAATTGTGCGCTGCATGAGGTGTCAATCAATTTGTTACAACCGACAAGATAATCCTTTTATTTCTTTATTTCACCTACTTTTTCCTTTCTTTATTGTGTGTGTGTGTGTGTTTTTTTTTTACATAGATGAATATGTCATTGAATACAATCCGTTCTTCGACGTGCGTCTCAACGACTCTTCCGTGATGAGGAAAGACTTGGTAAATACACCGAATACTTGTGCATCTCTGTGTCGAGCCTGGAAACACGATCCGAACGACCAATGCGTTGCTTTTGATTTCTCCGTTTACAATTCCGAGTTTTACTGGTGCAGACAGGCCAGGAAGGGATACCTATTGGTGCCAAATAAAGGAGACGAATACATCCTGTTCAAACCAGATGACTACCAGCCACCCACAGGTAGATGACACTCAATTTTACCGGCCCTTATTATTATCAAAGAAATCTCGTTCGTTATCGTGCCAATTAACAATGTTTACTTAGCGAAATGGATTGATTATATTGTCCGGCTTTCCAGAGGGATTCAATTCTCAATCGGAGTGAAGCATCGAACAACCTCCGCCATGCGCTATATACCTTTGCGACAATGTTATTTCATGTACTAGACGTGCCGTGAAAGATACACATATACTTTTACAAACTGTACAAGTGACATTCACATCCAGGTTGGTCACATGATCCTTAGATAAAAGAATCATCCACGAATCTAAAATGGCACCTCTGGAACTGCGTACAACCATGATCAAAATGACGACACATTTCTGTCCCGCCTGTTCTCCCACAGACAAGCCCGGCCTGTCTCAAACAGACATAATCCTCATCAGTGTTTTCTGCTCCTTGGGTGGTGTGGCCATTATCGGCCTCCTTATTGGTGGCTGGGTTTGGCAGTCGAAGAAGAAAAGGAAAGTGAGCAGGCCAACGACTGAAGTGAACGGAGACCACGGTAAGTATATACACTTAATGTCCATACTCGAATAGGCATGGAGTAGAAACTACGACCCGGAGCAATCTTCAACTCAACCCTAAACTTTATCCAAAGCCAAACTCAGACCATACATAATGTACTCAAATAAATACACCGAAAGCTTATTTTTCACGTACTGAATCATATTCCAAATCCTGACCACAACGCCAACTTAAACCTGAGTATTATTTCGGAGTGATTTTCTTACGTATTGTCTCTTTTGAATCGTTAATTTAAGTTCTAGAAATAACAATGATGACAATAAGTATTATTTTTGGAAATGGTAGCTTTTACAGGGGGACATTCCCACTTGTGCACGAAAAAATCCTAACTTTTAAATGACCCCTAACCTTTACCTTATCCTACCCTTACCAAGCTTTGTAAATTTGGGTTTTGCATCACGAGAAATCGATTAATAGCCTATTTGCGACATTAAACTTTGGCCTAGAAATAGGACTTGAAGCATTAGGAGACATTCAAATCCCTCCTTAATCTACCCTGTCTCCCCAAACAAGTATAACTCTTGATAATAACGTGTCACCGTGGCCGGCCGGCCTAGTAATACATGTTAGCCAACCAAAGGTGCTGGTCTATCTGTAAATCGATGGGAAATTAACAGAAGATGATAAAAGTCAGAAGGGAAATCGTGGGTTATTTTGATAGGGGTGGGGTGGAATGGAGAGTGGGATGTTTTCTGTCTCTGCAATTATCTGCCAGTTAACGGTTGTATGTTTATAACTGTCTTGGTATTTTCTTCCTTTTCCTTTCACAGGAGCGAGCATTGAATTTGATTAAACCCAACAAGTCCAACCGACGAACGAGCCTAGCACTGACGGCCAAGAATCCAAAGAAGACGGCCGAGGAAAGTGTTTTCTTGCTGGGAGGGGGGCTCTTATACACCCTACCTCAAACCAAATCAAGTATACCTCAATATGTGCACCAAAATGACAAGAAATATATTTAAAAAAAAAATTGACCTTCAATTTTAACATTCCGAAAATTACGGCCTGCAAATGTTTACCTCGAAACAAAACTGGTCTGAAGCTGCGCCTTTTCTTTTGACTATAAACTTAGTATTGTGCAAGTGTTAGTTTTAAATCAGAAAATTTAGCAATACAGAAGTTCAAATTACTTACATGTACTTTGATAGAAAACAAGTTCCAGTTGAGTTTTAGTCATTTCCTTGTTCCTATGGACATCTGTGTGATCTCCTGATCCTATAGCTACTTCTGTCTTCAACGAGAGGAATCCAAATGGCGTATGATGCTGCCCATGCTGCTGTCTTACACAATATCCAGGCATCGATCGATGGCATGGACCAACTAGCTGACAATTCTATTTGATGAAGAAAAAGCAAAGAAAACATCAATGAGGCAACCTTAACATAGATGCTTCCTCGTCAAATGGCAAAAAATGAACTATATTATGATGAAAAAAAATGCATTTTATCAAGACATTTATTATTGTAATCAAACGAAAGACTTCCCAAATATTTAGCTGCAAATCTTGTAGATTGAACATTTTGAATGAACTCTTGTACAAAGCGGGAAGTCTGCAGCATTTCAACAGTGGATCTCCATTCTGGACTATAAGTACAAGATTTCATTTATACCCATTCCCAAAACAAAAGCTTTGTGGGCAACCTTTTAAGCTACATTTCATGAATTATTTTTGCAGCAGTGACTCGTGCACTCTTGGTGTGTTGAACGTTTTATTTAAAGGGTCACCACAAACTAACTCTGATATCTAATCCTAACAAAATTTGCTTTTTCCCGTTATAATTTTCTGATGTAAATTTCTGTATGAGTTTTGTCAAAATATCTCATTATGTACGATATTTATACTTATTGTACAAAACAATTTTGTTTATGTCACATTCGGTTACTTTTTGCACTTGGTTATTCAAGGCTTGCCCTTTTTTTGGCAATAAATTCCAACTTTGAAAAAAAAACAAATTGCTAGATTTAGTGGAGATGATGTTCATTCTATTTACACATGGTACAATAGTCTTTGATGGGTGAGTTTTTGCGGGGACTGTACTTTTATTTACCATTTATGAAAAATTGCTGGATTATAAGTTGACATTCATTCATCATGCGGCAGTTATTGTCCACAAAGGCACAAACCGAGCTACATTTCCCACTTGACAAAATGGATCACTTAATGGACTGAAGATTGGTGATTGCTTTAACAATTTCGACGTTAATATCCCCCAGTACTTGAGCAAGCATATTGGCCTATTGTCCTGTGATACGCGTCCCTTTATCTATACAGTAAATCGAACAATTAAGCCTACAGCAAAATTGATGACCGAAGTAAATGCCCAATTGCCCATAATTATGATACAATGCGCGTTGCAGCCAATGTGTCTCCTTTCATAAATAATATTATTGGTCCAGCCCTAGCTCCGATCCGGTCGTGCGAAATCCCCTTCCAAAACACGTTATGCGTTGTGCAATGATTCAGATCCTGGCAATTGAAAATGGCCCTAAGAAATCCAGGCCAAGGTTTCTCTTTTAAACCGATTTTGATATTTTTAAAAATAAAAATCAATAGTACGTCGTCACACAGTGTGCTGTGTGCAGCATTTTGCTTCAATTGAATTTTCAGGGGAGATGAATAATGGGAGACTTCACGTTATCGTTTTTAACCGAACTGGATAAAACCAGGTAAAATATTAATGAGATACTTAATGGATGCCGTATATTATACGATCGCGAGTTGCCCCCAATTTGCATAATGGATGAGCCTGGACCAATCGTCTTCAACCATAACGGCAGTGCGCGTTTCGGATAGCCAATCACATCCCAGGAATAGTCGACCGCCTTTGCGCTGATAGCACGCAGCTCTGTGGGCTTGAGGCAGTTCTCGTGAAAGCTCTCACTACCAACTGAACATTTTGTCAGAAAAAAAGTGTTTTGAATCCTCCGTTAATTCTGCAGCTCATGAAAATTTATTGACACCTTTAAATGTTCACAACTGTTCCGATTATAAACTTGAAATATGGCAAATCCTACTAGTCATCTTCAAAATGCTCGTCTTGTGTTCATGTTTGTTTTTATGGCGACTGTCTCTTGTGTGACTGCCGGATGTACGCCTCCTTGCAGACGTCAACAGACGTTTTATGCTTGCAAAAACAGAGCTCTGAAAAACGTCAACTACACAACGAAAACTGTCGGTTCAAGAGTCATCTGCGGAAGAGACTGCAGCGCAGATCAGAAGTGCAGATCTTTTAACTTCTACAAGGATAATTCCTTGTGTGAACTCAACAGGGCCACGAGATATGAGCACCCAGATGCATTCCTTGAACATGAAGGCAGTGAGTACTTTGGCCCACGTGAATGCACGGCAATGCTCCCATGTCCTCAATTCCGACGAAATTGCCAAACTCTTACTAAGGCGGGCTTCAACTCCAGCGGTGTTTATACGATCTACCCAGATGGCTGGTGCGATGGTTTACAGGTCTACTGCGACATGGAAACTGACGGCGGGGGATGGATCGTCTTTCAGAGGCGACAAGATGGCAGTGTGGACTTCTACCTTAACTGGGCCGAGTACCAGTCTGGCTTTGGCGATCTGTCCGGTGAGTTCTGGCTCGGAAATGACAACTTGGCCAAACTTACCGCTGACGGTTGTCAGGGAAAGTGGGAGCTACGGGTTGATCTGGAGGACTGGAATGGAAGCACGGCTTGGGCTAAGTACGGAGACTTCAAAATCTCCGGAGACAACTTCACCCTTCATATTGACCAATATGACGACAGCAGCACTGCAGGGAACGCAATGAGATACCACGACGGATGGCCGTTTACGACAAAGGACAACGACAATGATGGGAGATCGGGACGAAACTGTGCCAACGATCGTGATGGGGCGTGGTGGTTTGATGACTGTGATGTGGCTCACTTGAATGGCGTGTATGTCCCTGGTGGAAATACTGGCACCGAGGTTGACGGTATTTTGTGGGACAAGTGGAGAGGCGAGTCGCATTCCCTTAAAGCCTGCAGCATGAAAATGCGTCTGGTGATCAAACCGTAAGGAAAACCCTCAACGAGAATTGAGAAACATGAAATAAATCTTGTTCGAATTACCATATGGAACGCCTTTATAAACATTTAATTTTACACTTTTTATCGAACTGATATTGTTTTTGCCGACATTAAACATCAAAATACCACCGGCACACATCATGAAATTTGACTCTCCACTTTGCTATTTGGAACTGAAAGGATTCTCATGGAAATTACTCCAGTGTTTAAAATCGAAATAAAATTGTAAGAAAGATAGCAATCTTGTCTGTGTGCTCACGGATTGAAACGCATGTTTATTTTGTAAATAACTTTGCTGACTTTTAACAAACCACCGAAGGAGGAAATGATTACGCAAAATGTCAAGTGACTGTCTTTTGTTTTCATTTTAAAGATGGTACAGCTCATGAAGAAACGTTGCATGCTAATTTTACTGAATCATTCCTGAAAAAGAGACGATTGAAAAATAGGCCCATGCGAACCATAGTGACACTATTGTGGCACAAAAACTGGAAACAATCCATTTCTGAATATTCCATCCTTCCCGGTTTTTCTCTATTTTGGTCTTCTTTTACCGAATATTACTAAAACTATACGATCCATCGAGCCTTTCTATTGTAAAATACAATTCAAATTCATTCTTACTTAGTTTAATGTATTAGTTATTGTCAAGATCGTTTGTCTCGTTTTAATGATCAATGACGTTGAATAAACCGAGTGATGGCGGGCTAGTCGAGCAACGATTCGATTGTGGTTTCCTGTCCAATCTTGAAGGGCAAGACCTACTTTGATTTATATTATATCACCCGACGCAAAAATTCCATCTTATAATACTGTCCAATCTGCTTTTCCTGTAAATTTGGGGCAGATCCAGGATGTTTTGCAGGAGGGGGGGGGGGTAGGTTATCAGCAGTCAATGCTGAAATGTTGACACTTTTTTCTCCAGCCACTGACCTTCGTAAAATCAATGAGGGGGGGGGGGGGGGGGCTCGTACATACTTTCAATGGGGGGCGCTGCAAAATTCACTGTCAGATTTGTTTCGGGTGTCACAGCAGGGGGAGGAGGGGGTCCACGTGACGGTTTATGTATTTCTATGAAAAAACAAAAACATGATCGCTCTGTAAATCAAGTTACCACCGTTTTCACAATTAAATTCACAAACATCAGGATACACACGAGTCTGTCCACACTACAGATAACACACTGCCCTCAGTTGGGGGCGCAGTGGATCAATCGTCAAAGAAGGTTGACATGTTGGGGAAATATAATATACAACCCTTTTTAATCTGAATTCTTAATCAGGTGTTATATAGTAGTCTTTTGTTATATTTGTGGAAATAATTTGACAAGTATAATTCAGGAGAGTTCGATGTCAATTGTGATGTCAGGCATCACATTCATCAATGCTTGAATAAGCACCAAGAATCCTTTGCGATGCCATACACTGATTCTGAACAAAGAGTTTTTGTTTTATGAATCTGGGTCGCATCACCGGTGAAACTAACGGTCTCACTTATCCGATGTGCTAACTTTTCCAAGCGGATTCAGCGGATAATTGAGCACGTTTAATACAGTCACATACTCATTTATATCGTTCTTACTTTTCCTTGTGCAGGGTTAATTCCAAAAGAGGGCGCTATCACTGTACAGCTCGGTGTTTCATTTTGAACATTAATTTTGATGGCTGATGATTTCGGGACAAAATCCCGAGCACTGTCAAAAGAAAAGAACCCAGGAACCAACCAGATAATCATTTCAAAAAGTCGTTTTTCAGAAACACATGCTTGCTTCAGTTGGGCAAGAATTGTTTTTGTGCGGTGGCAAATCATATCAAATCAGTATAAATCCCCCTCTAGTCATTAAATATGTTTATACTAGTGGGCTGGAAACTGTCAACCCCCCCCCCCCCCCCTGCCCCCGAAAAAAACTATTTGAATAAAGAAAATTAATCTAACTTCGGTCTTTGGTGAGATACAAAATGATACACGATCGATAGCCTTACTGCTATGTCTGCCGACACCATGTCGAAGCAAAAGATATATGCGCGGCCTAGGCCTACATCGTACACTTTTTTTTACTGGTACCCAAATTACCGATGATCTAACGTTCATTAGTACAACCCCAAAGAACGCAGCACACAACTTAAGTTGGCGAAAATGTACACTACTGCGCAATTTCGCGCATGCGTGTTGAAGCAAAATGTCCTCATCGGCAATTTAAGCACACCGGATCAGTGACACTGGTCGGCGCGGCCTACACAAAATCTGTCAACTGGAAGAGATCTGAAATTAGAAAACAAATGTTCCGATTGTGCAAGAGTCAAGTTGAACTGTGTCGGCACGGCAACACTCGTTTGTAAAAATCTCTGCGGCTTCCTTTGCTTCGGTAAAATATTACAAACCATTACTTGCTACACGATGGGAGATTCTCATGTTCGAAATCATGACAACACTTTGGGATGGTTTGCAGTGATGGGAACATTCATTAGCTGGTTCGCCTGGATTGGGATGGTCAAGGGAATGTCGGTGATGTTGCCTACAATACGAGTTCAGTTTGACAGCCAAACCTGGCTAGTTGGATGGATGGTTGCTATCTTAGATGGCTTCATAGATTTAGCAGGTAATACTGGGGTTTTTTTTTTAATTTAAAGTTTTGAACGTGGTTGTATCTTTCTTTAAGAAACTGATTCGGTTAATATGAGAACTATGAATGCTAGGCACTCAAACTTAATAATAATAATAATTGTCATCACCCTGGATTGGACATTTGTGAGACATCCCAATAGACTTGTGCACAATTTTTTTTTCAATTTTCAAACTTAAATGTGCCCTAATTTTCGGTATGTTTACTAATTGGACCACGAGCAACAAATATAATCTAATGGCGACAATAAAATGTTGCCTCTAAAGGGGGCTGTGACATTAGAGAGACATGAAAATGTTTCCCTAATGACCGATGTCTCCCATCGTGCGAAGAAATTACAATAACCTGTCTCCTTAATGGTACCATTACACGTATTATTATTACTATACCGGTAATGGTCATTAGCGAGACTTTCCCATAGACTTGTGCACACAATTTTTCAAACTTAATGTGCCATACCCAATATTCCCTTGTCCTTTTTCCACAAATTTCGGTATGTTTGCTAATTAGAACGCAGTTACAAAGAATACAAACGAAAATACTTCAATTTGCGGCAAATCAACACACCTAGGAAATTCCTAGTTTTTGAGTAAATCCATATATCTATTTCGTGATAACCTTGTGTATATTCACCTATATAAATTGCTCTGTGGAGACGTATACAATCTTTTGTTCCTATTGTGCACATGTCTCCAGAGGGTACCGTGTACCAGATCAAGTCACACACACAACGGAAGCTCAAACACACGTTTAAACACCCACACGACGTTTCACACTCACGCACACGACGTTTGCTCAGGCACACGACGTTTGCCTGTCCGTTTTAGAACACCATACGTTAAATCAAAATCCGTATGCTTGCAATTGATCACTTGCGTTTTTCCTTCTTTAAAGGCCCCCTGGCATCGCCAATACAAAGACGATTTGGTGTGAGGACGGTTGTCATGGTGAGCGGTTTGTTTGTTGGTGTTTCTTTCGTCGTTTCTTCGTTAGTGTCCAACTTGGTTGGCATGACCTTGGCTCTGGCACTGTTGGCAGGTAAGGGTGCATCTGAATATCATCTTGGCTATCGACCGGCAGTAACACGCGCCGATTCAGCAGTTTGAAATTCATTGTATTTTGTTTCATTTTCTTTATTGCATACAGCACCTGCAATAGGCGTGTCCAACATTGTAACAAGGGATTTGATTGGTCAATGTTACACTGAGAACCATACAAGGGCCTTCGGGATTGGCGCAAGCGGCGCCTCGGTGGCATTTGTTGTCTTCGCGCCTGTGACGCAATGTTTTCTAGAATTGTACGGATGGCGAGGGACCATGATGCTGCTGGGTGCCTTGTTGTCACATCTTGTAGTTTGTGGAGCATTGCTCAGACCGAACAAGAAACTAAACATACAAATTAATGATTACGAGATAATCAGTGAGGATGTTTCAGCGGATGAGACGAGTCCAGTAGATTATGGATGTCGATGCATCCTAACATCCATCAAGGATCTGTTCAAGACTGACATGTTCACTTCGCCAGGCTATTGGCTCGTAGTTCTGGTAACAATCGTCACGACAGTCGCAGCCACAGCGTGGGTTGTGTATTTCGCACCGAACGTTAACCAATCCAAACACTTCTCTTTAGCCGATGCTGCCATCTTTGTATCAATATTCGGTGTGGGCAAGATAGTCGGAAACCTAGCTGCTTGTTTCTTCGACAGTTGTCAAGTTGTCAGCACAAATGCTTGGATGGGACTGGTAGTCATTGGTAGTTGTGCGTGTTTTTTGATTGATCCGCTCTTAAACTCGTATTGGCCCATCATGGTGTATGCCTTTATCTACGGCTGTTTCCATTCCTGCACGTATACTCTTTTGGATGTTCTAACCAAGAAATCTGTTGGCGCGGAACAGCTGGGCAGTGCTCTAGGATGGATCGGTTTAAAGGCGGGCCTCGTCAGGGCATTATTTGTCTTCTTTCCAGGTAGGGTCAATTTGAAAGTTTTTACGCATATTATTGAATGTGAACAAAATACATGCCATCAGTAAACGAAACGCTCAGTGTAGGTTTACTGTTGGTCGAGGGTCATTTTGTTGTTAAAGGCAGACTAGAAGTCCGACGATTAAAAAAACAAGTGTCAGCACGTGTCACATGTCGACAATTGAATAGTCATAATTCGTTTTGGCCTAAATAATTTTAGCTCAAAATATGACGCGGAGATTTTTGTTACATGTCTAGTCTTAGCTGACACTCAGACAAACTTTTAAGGGCATACAATTACTACTAATATATACTCATATGTTGCTTAACTCATACAATTATTATCGGGAAACGGTTAATTCTGAAATTTGGGAATTCGACAGCGAAGGGGGGGGGTGTCAGGA